TTGAATGGAACGAAGAAGCTTGTTTTACAAAGATGTTTATTTTTTTTGTTGTTTTTTTTTCTGTTGTCAACTTTTCTACAGAGAACTTCCTCCAAATTTACGTGTAGTACCTTTTTTGAATCAGTAAATCAGTGTAAGGAATTACTTTGAAAAGGTCGTTTTTCGATTTTCTCAGGAGTTTTCCCAGCAAATATAAAAAACCAAGAAAAAAAATGGGAAAACCGGGAAAAACGTAGGAAATCCAGGAAAATCGGTACATCAAACAAATATTATTTATGGGAATATATAATTTAATTGTTTTTCTATGATATGACATATATATTGTTTACAAAACATCACTACCAACTGAACTCCGCTCAGAATCGTTTTTTTGTTAACAATGGATAATCGTTGCTAACTGATATACATTAAATTACTTATAACAGTGGCTGAACCCATCCTCATCAGTCTAAAACATCTTTATTTATATGCGATTTAAGTTCAAATTTTGCACGAAAATACTTAAAATCACATTTTGAAACATGACTACTAATCGAACTCCACTCACAATCGGTTTTTTTTTTTTTTTGATATTTTAGAGATACATTATAGATATAAGCAACATTATATATAACTTATATTAACAATAAATATTGTACGATATTATATTAAATTTATTTTTATTTTTCGTTGGACTTTCGTTTGGTTTGTTATTATTTTTGCGCGAGTTAACACACTACATTTTTACTAAACACGAAAACAAAAATAAGTTTTATAGCCCGTCCAGTTTTGAAATTTATGCGAGTCGAACGTATAACCGTGTCAGGCATGTAATTTCGTTAAATTTGTTATGCATAAAAACATGATAATATCAAATATTATTATTTTTACGTTTTAAATAATATCCATCATGTAATATTATAATGTCCGGTCCTTATACACGATGTGTTTATTAATATAATAATATCGTTGTACGCGACTCCTGCAGATTCATATTTAGAGATATTTCATACCTATAAAATCTTTGATTTTTATCAGCGTATTCAGATCCATCTCAATGTCTCCTCCCTCCGCTTTAATATAGCGAAAAATTTAAGAAAATCCGCTCTACGAGAGAGCTAAGTTTTCTTAATAAGTTGGTTTCTAAATATATTACACACAATAAATAATAGTTCCATATACAATTTTGAAAGAATTTAGTAACTTAGTACATTATACTTGCAAGTAAGAATATAAATTATTAAAAATCTTTTTTTGTAAATAGTTGACAGTACATTTTTCAATTCTATAAATACTAATTATATTATTACTTTTTATTTTTAATAGTGGCTATAGTATGAATATTAATTTAATACTCATATTTGTATAAATAATGACAATTACGTGCCGAATTTTAATATAAACTAGGAATAATAATAATAATGTTACGAATAATACCTATGTATCTCCTTATCAACCAAATCAACAACCGTAATTATGCACTGATAAGTACAGACGGACAGACGGTCACAACGACGATAGATGTCTAAACTTAGTTTTAGAAACCTAAAAGGAATAATATTTTTTAAGTTTATACTGGTCTTATTAATACACCATTTATAGAATTTGTGATTATTTTTAATACACTTACATATTTTTTTTCTCTTACATAATTTTTGATTCTGAACGTAGCAAGGAATATATTGGTTTTATTATGGTTTTTTTTTCTGTCTAGTTGTAGACAACTTTTTTTACAAGATATCTTGTTTCGATTTTCAAGTGTAAAGCATTTTTTCTAAAAGCAGATTTTCTTTTGTTGGTGCATTGTGGAAGTGATTTTTTGTATTTCTTTGTACGAGTTTTCTTGGTAATTAAGAAAATCGGAAAGAAGTTTAGCTGAATGTAGTAGTTTTTTTATAAGTATTTTGTAATCATAAAAATCACGGTTATAAGGTATTATTTTTCGATTTATGTGGATAAAATTAATTTGGCAGAACAGAAATGCTTTAAAATTTAACACGGGGTACATAATAAAATTGAATTAATGGTAAAAACTAAAAATAGAGCGTAATGTAGTAAATTGTTTTTATATGTATGCGTTTTAAGTTAAAATATTTGCATAAAAATCTTAAAGATCACGATATTTTGAAACATGACTAACTGAACTCCATTCACAATCGTCTTTTTGAATTATTATTTTTTTCCGTTTGGGTTTCGTATGGTTTGTTATTATTTTCACGCGAGTTAAAATCTTTGCATTTTCACTAAATACGAAGACAAAAATAAGTTTTATAGTCCGTTCAGTTTGAAATTTATGTGAGTCACATGGTGCCATTCGTTCAGAATCAAAAATTATGTAAGAGAAAAAAAATATGTAAGTGTATTAAAAATAATCACAAATTCTATATAATCCTGAACTTTTATGTTATTGTAATAAATATATTATTATTGCATTATTACGCATTACGGTATTATGCATTTTTACGAAAAATAATATTCTATTAACAAAATTCACACATGAAGAATTCCTCGACAAATTGAACTACCTGAAAGGGTTACAAATTTACAATAATCCAATAATACCTATAATAATGTATATAATATATAATGATATACTCGTATAATCATAATACATATTCCAGACTATAATATTGTAGTCGTCGTTTTATTATAAAATAAATGTAGTCACTGTCTACATCAGGTACATATTTTTATAAGTGATATAATAATATATAATAATTGTTTTGATTTATAGAAATACAATCTATAAAAAGCAACATAAAACCATTGCAATCAAAAAACGGAGTTCTGGAAACTGGTAAGAATATACTATAGGAAGACTAATTGGCAAGACTGGAAAGACATAACTGGCAGACTTGCCTAATAGATAATACCTATATTATATTTAGTAGATATTATAAATACCGTGTATTTTTCCCTTTTATAGTCAAATATAGGCGATAACCCAGGAATTAACAAAAATAAAATCAATGTATCGCCATTAGTTATTTAAATTATAATTCAACTTCTGTTGCAATGTAAATCATTTGTACACTGCATGTTGTAGATAGTATTTCGTACATAGTATTTTTCGTGTAAATGCACGTGAAATATATTTAGTTTAAAATGTTGGAATCGCTTGTCTCGGTTTCATTTTTACTCGAAAATAATATCAACAAGAAAAAATGATATTTTAACACATTTGTAAAACAATTTTATTGATTTTTAAATGAAAAGTAGGAAAATGATTATTTTTTTTCAATCAATCTGTAACAAAATTAACATAATCAAATCCATCAGGGATATTATATAAACGGACATTCAGGTTATTGAAAAGGACAAAACTGAAAACAGTGAACCGGGCGAAAAGTTCACAACTTAATACATCGGGACGGTACAAAATATAAAGGTATAGAAAAGCTTCTATAGTTTGACACTCGACCGAATTCGACTAGGTACAATGATGAGCTTAACAACGGTCCACTGAAGTGAGAAATACCTTTGGCACCTTTAAACGATAAATAAGCCAACGGGACTGTTGCATTTAACGCAAATGCCGCTAAATCGTCTTAAAATATTAAATGAGTTTTAGGGCCATTAATGTTTTTTAAGTCAAATTGTATCAAAGTACATTAATATAATCAAATCTAATTAATATAAAATTTATAATTTTATTATAAAATGAATTCAATTTATATTGGACCTTTAGAATTTTTAAAATCTTCATTATTTTGTTGTTTTTCCTCTTTATAAAACCACATGGATACAAAATGATTTGATCAATCATTAATCGTTATTTCTCATTTAACTTATAATTACCACCTTACCAGTGACATAATCACAGGTCGGGATCAAGGAGCCTGATCCTCACGATTGGTAATTTTTTTTTTTGTGGTATTTTTCTAGAACTTTGAAACAAAATTAAATGTTTTTAGCTTATTATTTTGTTTACTAATAATGGAATATTTACGAATAATGGGAGAATAACACTCTCCCCTCCGTCCCATAGGCACATAACTTATTAATTGTTGAACCAACCCATCCCTCTAAAAAAAATTGTCTATCCTCCCCCAAAGACCTACCCCAAATTACGTCATTAATAAATACTAGTACTACTATCTGAACTTAACTTATGAGGGTAAAATATCCATTCGAATTGAGTGGAACGGTAAAAAAAAAAATATAAAAATATTTTATACAACAAAATAAATGATAACTAATATTTGACAGGAAAATATTGTTTCGAGTACTTTTATCATCTCACAAAACTTGTTTGTTTTTTTTTTTTTTTTTTTAATGTATAAATAATGTACATGTTAAACGGTCAACCAAATGACAAATGTATAAAACTTGTATAATACTATAATAGTATAATGTATAGTACTTTATTGTATTTTCAAATCAAATTCAATTGTTTCGGAGTTGGTGGAAACGCCCACTAACACCAGAATTAAAATTAATAACCAGAATTACAGATTTACAGAACGAAAGTATTACTATAGTATGCTATTGTTGATTTACAAAGTAGAACTCCAACTTATTAATCTTAAATACTATTTATTTAAATTTTAAGTAGTACATGAATATGAATAAATATACCAATCTATTATCTTATATAATGACGTCTTCGTACAATTATATGACTATATTTTAAACACTATTTGTTAACGCGTTATTTGAAGCGATAACTGTAGAATAATGATTTTTATTAGTGATGATAAATGATGGAAATCAAAATACTGCTAACGCGGTGGTCGGGTGTTTGTTCGGTAAACTTTGTAGAAGCGGCGTTTCTCAGGAAACGACCCTTAGCTACCGAGTAAACAAATACTTGTAAATCAGAACAGTCATATTATCAAGCCAGACTACTATCTTAATAATAATTAGTTTATTCTTAATAATTATTACCTATACTGTATATTGTAATGTTTAAATTACATCATCAGATTTAACAATAAATAATTATAATAATCGTCAATTCTAATGGATGACAATGTAATCAATCCGTATTTGTTGTAAATTAAAAAAAAAATTTTTCAATTATGACTTCACTTAAAAACGTCCATACTGTGGACAGACGGCCAACGACAAGTAGTCGTTTGAGTAGATCTGATCACGGTGTTGCGGAATACAAGCAACCCGTATACTGTATACCTGATAAAAACCTTAGACCACAATACGATAATGAAATCGACGGAGCCGATCGCAAACGAGAGACACAAACGTCCGACTCGGATAAGGCGACCAGACAACTGCAAATGATGTCCATACCTGACCGACGAGTAATTGATAGGGGCACATTCAAACGGTTACAATGTAAAGCTGTTGTGGTGACCGCGCAAGACCGAAGAAAAATAGCCGAAGATTTAATGGACGACAGAGAGAGATTGAAAAACAAAAGCGCGGCCCGAAAACAATATTTACAAAGCTACGATTTACTGAGGGCTAAAGGAAAACAACTCGCACGGGTCTGTATAACACTTAAATAATATATGCCTTTCAATTTAAAACACTCGGATATTTAATGGATATTATCATAGTGATAAGTCCCTTTCGAAGATAATTTTAAACATTAAATATATTATATTTTAAATAAATATAATATATAATTGTACATTTAGGTACCTATAAAACTCTATAAAACGCTTAATAAAATACACTATGATGATGAAACAAATGGTTAAATTGTTATTATCAACAGAGCATTTTCATTAAAAATCGTTACTTGATAAATGGTCCCTGCAAATACTACATTAATTCTTGCAACCTGCCACAAAGGCAATTTCTAATAACGTTCTAAAGCTATCACTATAGGTAGGTACCTTTTACACTTCCATCACTGTCAGTTCTGGTTTACATCCTTTTTTTCTAAAGTAGGTATTTCTAAATGTAATTTTTCGACCATGTCCTACTCTATATTATATTCGTTGCCGGACACTTTTTAGAAAAATAGTATAAAATCTAATAACAGTCGATTTATTGATGGTCTAGTTTCAAAACGTCTAATCAAACGTAAAATAGGTAATATGTTACTTAACATTTAATATGTGCTTTTTTTGTGATAGGGAGTTTATCGGTTTTCAATGTACGTATAATTAAAATAGATACCTAATGTAATAACACATAATCATATTGAACATCATATTACATATTTTAGGTAAAGATGTTTTAGGATATAATAATATCAAATGTAGATTGTTGATATTATACAGAAAACTTTGAGCGAACATTCGCTAAATTAATAAAATCATTATAGTTGGATGACGAAGCAAATAAAAAATCCAACTATCTACTAGCAAGGGCACAGCAGTTGCGACAAGACCAAGAGGACGAAATAAAACGATGTAATTCTCTGATACTGAGTACCAAATGTCACGCTATCAGAAACGCTCAAATCGCAGAAAAACAACTTATTCAGTAAGATTTTTTAATAAAAGGTATTGGATGATTTTACCATTATTTATCGGCTATACAAAAAAAATATTTTATTTAAAATAATTTTAGCATTTATGCCATTTATAATTATAGTACGCAATGTTATTCGTTATGCTACACATATTTGATCACCTTAATTTAATAATGTGGTAGGTATACCTATATTCAAATAATATCAATAGTTTTAGATTTTCAAACTTTTAAATTTTCTTTGATTAAAAAAATGAATACTTTTTGCGAAAGGTCCTCTATTGTAAGTGTGTAGTTCGGATGATAAGCATAAAATATACAGGTAATTTATTTCCTCACAAATATCTTTTCAAACGAAAAACGATTTTGAGTGGAATAATATTAGATCCGTGTTTTTCTCTTGTTGCCAAGGAAACCCAGAAATCTACAAAAATAAATAAAGGGATTGAACTGCTGAAAATGTCAATAAATATTTTAAATAAAGTATTGTCGAGTAAAAATTACGCATCTTTTGAAATGCAAGTTAAAGTATTTGCTTAACCAAAAATGTGTTTTTATAAAAAAAAAACATACAAATCAAATTTTTGGCAAAATTCGTATCTTTTAAGAAATAATATAAAAAAATCAGATTATTTTTACTAGTCGAAATCCGCTAAAATCCGAAGTTTTCCGAAAAAATAAAAAATCACACATCTTAGTAGAACAAATAACTTCCTTGCTAAACTTGGAATCTAAAACTATAAAAACAAAGGTTTAAAATATGCATATTTATTTTTGTAAATTGATATGTTAATCAACTAGCTATACATAATTGAGTATCCATATAGAGGTTATAGAGGTTAAAAATAAAATTTCAATTTTTCTGCCGCGTCCCTCTAAACGCAGTTAATATATAATATATTGATAAATATACATTTTTGGTATAATCGGACTAATTTATTCAAGTGCCGAAATTAACTTAAACTTAAATTACTTAAATTAACTAACGTCTAAGTTGTTTTTAAAGACAAACACTGTGCGAAATATACCGTGTAGTAGTGTAGATTATACATAAATCCATAATAATACATAATGTTATATGTGCAGCGTGTGTGTAAAATATGTTAAAAAAAATATAATAATAATCAACTGTTGTAATATAATGAAGTCAAGTTTAGCAATTAAGGATATGTATACCTAATTATTCACAAAACTTTAATATAATATTAATTAAAAATTGTTTAAACCAAAAACATAATACATAAATATAAATATATATATTTATACCTAAATATAATAAATAGTTAGGTACTAAATTCAAAGTTGATGAATGTAGATACACATATGTGACCATAAATATGTATGATAAGAGCGCAAGTGCACAACTGTATACTGCAACAACACACGCGATGAGGGTTAAAATTGTTAAAATTTAGGTTTTTATTTTTCCTCGATAAAACTTCATGGCTACTCAGGGACAAAATAAATTCCGTAAACAATAATACTTAGTATTATTTTATTATAGGTATCTAAAGGGTAGGTATAACCTAAAATAAGTTTATAAATTATAATACAATACATATTATATAATGTATATTATAATACTGAAGTACTAGAATGTATTAACTTTAAAATAAACGAAATACAATCACGCTATAAATCATTAGTCTATTTAAAAAATTCTCTAATTAAAATAAAATGGCTCTAGGTAACATCATAAAAAAGTCAATTTTTTCAACTTAATTCTAAACGAATTATAATTGCAATTATAATGTGATTTCGCGTCTATTAATCAATATTACATGTTTCTTCTTCTTGCTTATAAATTCTCATTATAAGTTTGTACCTATAACTCACTGATGCCATCCATTTTAAAATGTTAACTATATTATATCATACTGTTATTATTGTAAAACGAAAAATTAATATTTTAATATTAATAAAATTCAATTTTTTTAATTGATTCTCAAATTGTAATTTTTATTCTTATTTTTATTTTTCACCATATATTTATCTATATATATTAAATAATTATTGTAATATTTTATTTTTTCTCTCTATACTCACACTACATTATGCCACTTTACTGTACCAATATTATGTTATAATATTTCTCTAATCTACTGTCATTTCACATATTACTTTATAAATTAGAATACATTTCCGTAAATAAATATTATTATTATTATTAAATATATATACGAGTATTATTATAGGAAAGCAATGAAAGAAGAAGAACGCAGAATGGAAGAAATCATGGAACGAGAACGGATGTTAGCCGCCAAAGAGTTGGAAAAAGCGTCGGAAATTGAACGGCTCAAAAAGAAACAACAAGCAATCGAGGTCGAGAAGCAAATAAAAGAAAACGAGGTCGCTAGGGAAATGGAATTGGCCAGAATGGCGGAAGTATGTATAAACTACACACATATCACGTTATTATCGTTTATCAGGGTTGCAAGAGGGGCATTTTTTTAAGAAGGCGATTTAATTAAATGTGTTAAAAAAAATAGTAATTTAAATGTACCATTAATTAATATTACTTTGTGAGGCCAACAAAAATTTGATTCTTGTAGACTTATGATTTTATGTTACATATATAGGAAGCGAGAATCCGAGCGGAAGCTTTGGAGAAAATCCGACAAGAGGAGGCCAAAAGTTACAAGGCGAAAATGGAAAAACAAATACAACTCCGTCAAGAATTCATGTTGCTTAATGCACAAATAAGGGATTCGAAAAAACTAGAGGAAGAAATGAATAATATTGAAGTTCTACAGGTTTTGTATCAACTTTAACAGAATTTTGAAGTACCTATATTTATCATGAGGTACTTCTGCGTCAACATTTGCTTTTTGTTTATTTCGCGTATAATATAAAAACAAAGGTATTTCGGTACTTCAACAATCATGACTATCTGATAGCGCTTATTATCAAAAGAAGACAGGCAATTTAAGAATTTTATAAAGTAGAGGATTTAGTATGCCTTGACCTAATGAATTTTTAATATTTAAATTTTGTATCAAAACATTATACATGTTTTAATTTAGCTTAATTATCTTAATTCAAATCATTTAAATAATTATTAAATTAAATAATTTAAATAACGAAAATATTAAAAAAAAATAAATATTCGGTCGACACATAGTAAATATTATATTTTACACATCCTATATAGGGGGTCTATATATTTGTCCTAAACTCAATCAGAATTTCACAATTATTGTTCGACTTATAAATAGAAATATACATATTAAATGCAATAATAAAGTGATACAAATAAAACAAACTATAGATTAATCGACTACCTCAATTATATCAATTACATGATTATTTTATAATTAGTATCAGTTTACTATTTCATGCCTATAGTAGAGCTACAATATAAATTTACCTAATTAAATTTCCTGGTTGGAAAATTCCAGAAACGCCACTGAAAATAGCAAAAATTTACTTCGTTAAAATCCTAGTCACTTTTTTATTTGGCATTTTAACCGTTTGAATTTTTCGTTCCGTATAAGGAAACCAAAAATAATAATGATAGTCATTCTAAAATATACAAACTATAAATTTTATATGTTATACCGGGAAATGGTGAAGCTTCTATATCAGAAAAGAAAAATTGTTCAGACACGAGAAAACGCACATCGTTATAAATCAAACATGACTATATTCCATTCTCGGCTCTATGTTCAGAATTTGAAATTGCCACCCTTAAAAATTAAACACAAATTCCGTACATAGGTACGTCATTCCAGGATCACGTACGGCCATGTCCATACAAAATAATAATGTAAAATGTATTGACTTTCGTACCATTATACCTATAGGATTACATATAGAACTTCGTCGTTTTTATGAAATAATTAAAATGTCTGCGATAAATAAATTATTTATTTTCAATTTCGTTAAATGAAAATCCATTTTGTTATTCTACTGTATACCTGTATTAATATATAGATACAAGAATATACGCGAAAAAAGAACGAACGAGAAATAGCATTCGAGCGAGAGTTACAAAAGCAGAAACTACTAAAAGAAAAATCAATCGCCAAGATACAAGCGAACCAACTAGCGACGTACGAAACGCAAGCCGCCAAAGACGAACTGAACGCGCTCAGAGTTAGAGACCAGGTAACCTGCGGTGTTATTATGGATGATAATATTATGTTATGCTTGTACACAGTTGTAGCACAGTTTTTTCTCAAATATTTGAAAAATTATCGCTATACGGCTATCGACAGCCGACATGATGAGATTACTAATATTACATTATGCGCACATCAGTACACTACATTTACTTACTAAAAGGAAAAAAAAAACGATTTTATCTAACATTTACGATTTAAACATTACAATAAAAATGAAAATATTTAACAGTACAGTATGCCGTAACAATTAAAGTAGTGTAAAGTGTTGTTTTAGATTAGGACGATTTGATTTATTTACGATATTTATCAATCAGCTAACTTTTCCACGCCTGAAACGTTTGTTTTGAATTTACACACCATACATCACAACGAACTTTTGTACACTAAAGTGTTAACACTAAATTTTTTTAAAATGAACAAAGCTATTGTATAATGCGTTGAACTATCGTATATTTAATAATTAATATCAAAATTTCAACGTTTTTCTAGTTTATTGTAAAAAACGATTTTTCATAAAAATATTAATTTTTCTTGATCATATTATAATATTTTATTATCATATAGATTTATAATAAATATATATTTATACTAGCTGTCCCGTTACTGAGTCGAACAAAACACATGAGCAACTTTGAATTTTTCTACAAGCATTTATACCTATAGAATGAAAAAATAATGAAAACCAAAATGCATATAAATAAATAACTTTTTAGTTATGCAAACAAGGGACTAAAACACTGCAAACTTTTAGAATTTAAAAAAAAAACTGTTTGAATGATGGCGTGATATAGCTGGTTTTAAATACTTTTAGCAAATGCATTGTATAGTTAAAATTTGAGCAGTTTACTGTATAAACAAGACTGTGATACCTAGTAATATTTTAGTTCCTTATACACTAGGCAAATTGTTCGCGAATGGATGGGATTTTTAATCACCGCGAACAATCGCTTAAAATTAAACAACCTATATTAGATTAAAGCATTCGCACTATGTTATTTCACCTTTCTGACTTTCTTCCCCCAAAACTAAATAATTAATAAATATAATGTCTTCTTGTACCTATATTTATTTCAGACATTTCCTATACTTACTACGAATATTACGATTACAGGTAGAACGCGAGTGGCGTCGTAAAGAACGCGAAGAGGCTATCAAAAGAGCTAAGGACGAAGAAGAACTGAACGCAGCCAGACAAAAACAGATTGAAGATCAGAGAAGAATGTACGCGTTTGAAATACAAAGAGAGAAAGAAGAAACCGAAAAAAACGCTCAACTCAATATTGAACACATCAAAAAAAGCAAAGAAATGGACAATAAAAACAAAATGGTATCTATGTTTTTTTATTTTATTTTTTTTATTTTTTTTAATCGAATTATAACAAAAAAACAAAATCGAAAATAATGAAACTGTTCTACGGCATTAACTTTCCCGTTTTTCTTAACATTTTCCCAAATTACTAAGAAAACTCGGACAATCAAAAAACGATTTTCTTATACACCAATAAGTCAGAGTTTTCTTTTAGAAACGATGCTGCACTTAAATTTCGATGCAAGACTTGGTAGAAAAACCAAATTGATAAAATTTAAAATAATGAAATCGTTAACACCGTAAATATTTGTCAGATTTGTTTATCTTATAGGTTTTTTCCTCCAATTTTCATGAAAATCACTTGAAAAATAAAAAAATAAACACGTTTCATCGTTTCATTATGTTTTTCGTTAATTTTTTTAGATTTTGTGTGGATCGAAGAACCTTGAGGTTTTACAAAGATATTTATTTTTTTTTTTTTTGTGGACAACTTTTCTATCAGCAATTTTGCTCCAATTTATAATGATAGCAATGTTTCTAAAATGAAATTTAAGTAGAGAGGTACTTTAAAGAGGCCATTTTTCGATTTTCTCAAGAATTTTCCCAGCAAATGTGAAAAATCAGGAAAAAACATGGAAAAATTGGGAAACGCGTATAGGAAAAACGGGAAAATCGGTACTTTAAACAAATATTATTAAAGATAATATATAATGCCTATTTAATTATTTTACCATAATATGACATATATATTGTTGAAAAAGCATTACTATCGACTGAACTCCGCTCAGAATCGTTTTTTCGTTAGCAATGGTTAATCGTTGCTAACAGTTATACATTAAATAACCTGTAACAGTGGCTGCACCCGTTCACATTATCCTAGGACGTCTTTATTAATCTGTCATTTTTATCATGGTTAGGTATAATATAAGGTACTATACGAGATCTTCGTTACAGTCCCACACACTTTGGCTCTCGATTCTTGGTCCGTGGTGTTTAATCACAGTTTAATACCTAGAAGATCTATCTATCTGATACCTACCCTAAAAATAGACGTGTTTGTAATTAAAATGTTTCTTAAAAGAACACTTTTCTAAATATTAATGAACAGTTAAAAGTTGTTTTTCATCAATGCACCGGCTAAAAATTTTGCTAAGGGCAATGAACCCTAATTAGGAGCAACAGCGTTCACAAATTTATCAGTATTGAACATTAAAAAAAGTCTGAAATACCGATTAAGTATTTTATCTGCAATTAGATAGGTATAAAAATAGGTAAATTAAAAAAAAAATAATAAAAACACGTCATTAATACTTACCTATTGTGTTTTACGTGCATTTAATAAAAGTAATTGTAATCATTATTAAATTGAGGAACGGCGTTTAGGGGCGGGGGCGGGTAGCGTGCATTATATAATGTTAGCACGTCGGAAATTCGGGCGCTAGTTGCGAAACTTATTTGGGATTCGAGCGGTCTGAGATCCAATGCACATCACTAATCATTTAAATACAGTGGCGTAGCGAGCGAGGGTGTTGTAGGTGTAGCAGTACAGCCATTCGTTGACAGTGTTTGTTTAATACAGATAGATAAGCACATAATAAAATGATAATATAGACAATTTACATATAGTTTTATTATAACTACCTATGTGAATTTCGTTACGATGTTCGTATATTATAAACAAATCGGAATGTGAAGGATTATCGATTACTGATGCTACGAACTATGACAGTAGTTTATACAGTGAAACCTCCCGGACTAAACCTCCGAATAGCGGACGATTTTTCGGGAACGGGGACATTTTCACCGCTTTTATATAGGAAAACCTCCATATGCCGGACATTTTTATGGCAAACCGAGGTCTTCAACAAGCTAAAGTAACTGATTTTTTCAATAAATGTTAATTTGTATTTACATTTTAATGTTAATATTTTTACATACACAATAATAACATAATTTTAAATAATAATATGTACAATTAATATTTGTATTGAAATAATACAAATATACATAAATCATTAATATACACATTACATAAAATATAAATGTTGTACCTAGATAGAGTTATTAATTTCTCAGGGTTATTTTCGATAATTTTTTTCCCCCTCTAAATAGTGGACAAAATTACGGCGACCGAGAGTGCCCGGTATTTAGAGGTTTCACTGTAGTTATTTGCTAACCGCATCTACTGATAGGTATAATTGGCAACGATTTCCGTTTTCCACCGAGAAAGATACAGATATTTATTTATGCATATATATATATCTGATATATATGTTATATTTTTCGTACGGCACGGACAATTTGAGTTCAGCAGGGACAATATCGTGCCGTTTGTTTCAATATCAGAGCGAATCATTCCAAAATGATTATCATTATCAAACAAAAAAAAAACAAGAACATTACCTCGGTAACGTTGGCGCTATTTTTTCGATGTTTTAGTTTTCAAACGAGATATGAGTTAGTGGCTATGCGAAATATCACGATAACCGTGATGTTTTATCATTAAATTCGTTTGAACGTCAAATGTCGAAAAAAAATAGCACTAATGTTGCACGGTTAATGTTCTTGTCTTTGAGTTTGATAACAGGCGAGTTCGCTCCAATATTAAAACTAATAGCGCGAAGCTGTACCCGCAGAACGCTAATCTGTTTTGTCGGCGCACGTCCTCTTAAGTGATTTAACTGATAAATAGTGATAATGAAGAAGATTTCACATTTCTTCATAACACCCGTCTTTGGAAATTCTGTTTAAACACGATGAATACAGATACCTATGCACATACATGATAATTACGCATCAATATAAGTGAATCACTAAATACGGGAAAACTGGCACACGTTCAAATTTTAAAACAAAAAACTTACCTAGAATTTTATAATATTTCATGAAGTGTATGCAGAAACTTATAGATGGTATCTATAGCACTTGTAACATTAATTATTAACAAGCGATTTTTTTTTTCTCTCGACGGCGTTTAGTTAAGCCAATTACGGCGCTAGGTTTTGCGGGGCCCTGGACAATTTATGCTTCAGTGTAACTAATGATTGTATACCTATATAATAATATACCGCGGGGCCCGTTAAAACCGAAATAAGCGCGAGGCCCTGGACCAGTGTTCCGTTTGTTCTCCCCCATCGCCGACACCGAGTATGGGTAGTATACCTCCCCCAATAGGCACCTACCGGTTTCTCGTTCTTGACAGATGTGCCCCGTCTTTGTTGAAAAATCCGATCGCCTAAAAACAATAATGTGCGGTCGTAATAATCGTATACACTCATAGCTACTTATTCTTTCACGCGCAGAAAATCGAAGCCTATCGTAAAAACCTGTTAAAACAGATCGACGACAAAGAACAAGCAAAGATACAGGAGAGGAAGAGATCGTTCCAGGAAGGCGTCAAATTGAAACAGGAAGAACTGGCCAGGCAAAAAACGTTACGGGACACGATGTACAATAAAATCGAAGAACTCAAGTAATAATAATAATAATAGTAGTAAAAATAACAATAACAACCGATTGTAAAATAATAACGCCGGAAACGTGCGAAACAGCACGCGCGCGCACCACCTACGAGAATAGATTTTTATCCCGTGTGACATCCGCCGGGTAAACTCTGCCGCCCAAGTAGGTACGCGGCGGACGGGCTATTTTTCCGTAAACGCCGCGGTGTCTTAGTATCCGCGCCGTTGTTGGCGCGGATATTTAATTGTGGTCGTCGGCAACAGACGCGCGCGAAACGACGACCGCGTACAAATGCATTAGGCGGCGCAATCGTTCGGAATTTCGAACGGCGTTCCTGCGCACGTTCAATTTCCGTTTCTTGGACTTGCCGACCGAAACGGTCCCGGACGTGTGCGCGCACCAAGGCCCGGGGGTCCGGTCGGTTAGGGCGCGGTGTAAACGAAACTGCGAGTCTTTGGTTTTTGCGAACCGGCGCATTTCGATCAACGGCCGTCGGTTCCGGTATTTTACCGACTTTTACGGTTTTACCATCGCGCGCCTCGGGCAGTTTTTAATCAAAACCGACCTATTACAATTTCAGGGCGCACAACGTACCGGAAAAATACGTACAAGGGATCGCGAGACAACTCAAGTTACACCGTAAATGAAATCCGGGACCGCCTAACGACGCGATGCCGCGTGTACGTAGGTGTACTGTATTTCCGGAAGAAGTGCTTCCGGCGTAAACGTACGCCTATAGATCACAATTCACAATTAACGTCACATCCGGAGGCGGGCACGCGCGCGCATTTAGCGACGGTTTCGCCGAGGACCCCGACGGCGGGATATCCCGTCGAAAACCCAACGGAAATCCCGTGTACCCGCCCCGTCGTCGCATAATAAATCGGCCGTACAGGTACGTGCACACGCGACGACGCGAAAGACGAGAGGAGATTGCGCGAGCTATTCGCAACGTGAAAATATTAGGCGCCCGATCGAAACTTACCGGCTTGCTCTTACCGTTCCGGAACGAGTGGTCGGCAATTATTTGAAACGGCGACGGTCCAGGAGAATTTATTGTTTTCACCAGTTTTCAGGCTTCGAACGCTATTGCACAGCATACATAATATTGTTATCGTGATAAAATAATAAACACATTTTTTTTTTTTCCTGTCAATCTTGGAATCTGCGTCGTCATACTCCTTATCGCATTCGTGAACGTGTACTATTTGTGACAAAACATTTGATAACCGATTGTCTAAATCCAATCAAAATACGTAGATTTATATGCGCGACACGGTGTATTGGATTCTCGGTCTAACCTATAAATAAAATCCCTCGTCAACCATCAATGTTTACTCTAACTGAAACGTCTAATTATAATTTATTTTTTTTTTTTGGCCACAATGCCTGTCAGGTTTTTAAGCGTTTCTGTTTAGTCCTAACAATTTTATCTACAGAGTACAAACTAAATACAAATTACGCAAAACTCTCAAATCAAAAATGTCTAAATAAAAGTTTTCTGTCCGAATTTCAACAATCAAATTTGAAAATAATATATGTTGTAAATTTTCCCAAAATAACATTCCTATAGTACCAAGTGGACAAAATTTAACTTTCAGAAAAGGAGCTAAACTTCATACATCAAAGCAAGATTTCTAGTAGTTCAAACATTGTAAAACCAATATATTTCTCGCTACACTTCTAAGGTAGAGAACAAGACAAAGACTGGTGAAGCTACATAAAACTTATTAGGCAATGCTAGTAGTAGATAGTATTAATATTTAAAGTTTATTTTAATTGATAAGTTAATACATAGAAGATATGATGATTAATTAGCATTCTTGCAAGGATCATCTACTTGTCCTCAGTAAATACAACTGTTCTAATTCACTTACACTACTTTTACTAATTACACGAGTATTAGTGAGAATGACAAGTACTACGCATTGTGTAAACTAGGTACCTAAGTCAAAGAAAATAATAAAAATAAACTAGAAGGGTCAGATAGATTTCACTAGATGTACTCCGAAATTGTGTAACAGCAAGTTTTTTTAAACACAAAAATATGCTCAGAGATAATCGTAAGAATATTAAATTCAAAAACCTGAAATCAATATAATACTTCATGCTAGTACTAGTCACAAAATAATTGAACACAAATAATATTTGTTCAAGTCTTTTCAAACACAATGTCATAAATCATACAACAAATGTAATTCTGATTTTTTTTCCATACATTTATTTAAATTGTTTATTATTTTCACAAAAAATTATATACTGTGGCTATTAGTAATAAAAATTAGTTTTCAAATTCTGTGTATATTTATGATACAAACTTGAATATTTCATGGATTTGTTCCACATAAATCTAGGGCTTATTAAATAACTCTTCAGTTAGCCGTTGTTATAGGTAGTAAATATTCCCAGAACAAAAGAAGGCTGCTTTTCGATACAAAGCTAACAAATTAGTAGAACTTACCATAGAATTGTCATTAGTATTTTATTTCGTTCTACACAGAATACCACACTATTCAATAATATTAATTTACATAATATCTTCTTCTTTCAAGGACAGAAACCATTAAACAGAAAGAATCATTATTATGGGTTGTTTATGATATTTGATTCAAAAGGATAATAGTTAGAATAAGGCATCATTATTAGATATAATAAAGGTTAATAAATACAAAAATCATTTAAAAATATATGGAAGTTGTATATTCCTATATTTTATGAAAAAATAATCAATAAAGCACACTTAAAATTGCATCCTGTGTGGGTATTGATTACTTTTCAAACCAAATGTAGATGCAAGATACATTAAAAATGTTTTCCTGTCTGGATGTTTCTTAAGAATGTCCAATATCTGTTTGTCAACTAGCTTTTGATCAGACTTCCTTTTTTCAGTTGGTCGGTAGGTCTACAAACATGAAATTGATGAAAATAGTAATAAAATATCAATATAAACTAAATACTATTACCTTATTTTTCTGAACGAATAAGATTTTGCTACTGTCACCCTTCTTGGGCTTCTTCTTCAACAAAATACGCTTAAAGTATTTGTCATCAACCTCTTCAGGAATCTGAACACTAGAAATATCCAACTTTGTTTTGGTGGCAATGACATGACCTTGGTGTACACGTCTCAATGGGATTGAATTCAAAATGAATGGTCCAGTAATCAACAATAAACCTGTGTCAAGAGTTTTCAACAAAACTGCACGTTTACCCTTGTGAATACCAGTCAATAAAATCACGACTGTTCCAGGAGTCAACGAAGAACGAGTATTACGCTTATGATTTTTGAACAGACCACGGCTCCTATGTTTCTTAGGGCTTTAAAAAAAAAAAAAAAAAAACAATAGTTTTTAATTAATTATGATTATCTATAAACAAGAACATATTATTACACTATATTGTTGCAGATACGTAAATAAATAAGTACCATGTACATTGACTAATAACAGTGACAACTTAACAGAGATGCTAGAAATTTGAATAAGAAATATTAAAAAATAATTAAATAAAAATAAAAATATCATTCATACACAAATTTTAACATTGCTGTAAATAAATCAAATAAAATATTTCCCAAAATTTATTTTTTATAAAATCAAGTTGTTGAAAAGTCCATAGTTCCAAATAAAATGAAACTAACATCTTTTCTTAAAAAACATTGTTATGTATCATTCATTATTTTTGCATTATTATGTTTGGTATGAAAATTAAAGAATAGAAGAAACACTACTTTTTATGATAATGTAAATTGTAAAAACAAGTTTAAGTGTAGCATTAATTGTATCCACTTATTTTTATTCTATTCAAATTTAATTTTTAAATTATAAATAAGATTATGAGGTATATTATTATTAAATATATTTGGTTACAAATTATGACAATAGAGAATTTAAGATTAAAGTAAAGTGTAGGGATTTTCAAAAAATATTCGAAGGTGACATAGTTAATAGTGGCTGAAAACCACTAAATACCATCACAACATAGCACAAAAATAATATAATTATTATTAAATCAATGATTCATAATTACTAGATCACTTAAGGGCATCATGACAAAAATAAAACGGTGTACAAAAATTATTAGTAATTTCACTTAACTTCTAACTTTTGTGACCATAATATATCTTCCAAACTCTAAATCTCTTAGTAAGATAAATGTTCCTTACTTATAAAAAATAATGTTAACATAAATGATCATTTTTTAATAAAAATAATCACTGTCAAAAACATATTAAACATGTTTCATTTTCAATTAACAAAAGAGAACATATTTTATTTCCCAGCATTTGATTAGATTAATAAATGTATCAGTTATTTGTGTCCATTTTACATGAAATGATATAGAAATGGTGCATAAATATAAATGAATATGATTTATGAACTTTCTTTAGCACAGGAATACTTCAATGCGTATAACCTGCGACTCTGGTTCAATAAGACTTTCTTGAAATTGAAAATATGCATTTACCATTCTGATACAGAACAAATTGCATCATTCAGTTTAGAAATAATAAATGTATCAGTTATTTGTGTCCATTTTACTTGAAATGATATAGAAATGGTGCATAAATATAAATGTATGACTTATGAACTTTCTTTAGCACAAGAATACTTAAAACTAATAGAATTGTTTAGATTTGTATATCCCATAGATATAAATATAAATATAATAATTATTATAATATTGTATATAATTATTAATATAATGATAAAATTATTGGTGTTTAATAAATATAATTCAATTTTATTTATGCATATCATAAAGTAAGTTTAAACTTACTCTTAGTTAACAAGAAAATTAAGTCAATAATAAAGTTGAAATATTTACGTTTTCATTGTAGCATAGTAAGCCTTGCGTTTGACAGTGTGTACTTCACGAGTTCCGCCATTCTTTTCCCCCTTAATTGGCTTGACAATGATGGACTTCTTTTTCTATAAAATAAAAACAATAATAAAATAGAAGTCATAAATACTTTACACCATGGGTATACTGTATAAAACTGTAATATATGGAAAGTTAATAAAGATAGGGCATATGGAGATATAGAGTAAATTTAATTAATATCCTGATAAATCATCGCAACCAAAAAACAAGATTCCGAGTGAAGCAATATGAGTATTTTCCTTTGTGACGAAAGTAGCACAGAGATAGCAAAAATTCAAGTCATGTGTTGATTAATAACAGTTTTTTTTTAATTTGTTGAGAATGTAAACATTTTTTTTCAAATAAAATATCATTGGAAGAAAAATCCACATTGTTTAGTCATACACTGTGTTCACAAGATTGTCACCTAGTTTTATTATAAGCATATTAATTTCATCTAATGCTATCTACTTTTTTAGTACCTCTAGTTTAGACATAGTAAATATAAAACTAGTAAAAATATTTAAAAAAATTGTTAGGTATAAAATAAATATTATGCTAAACATAAAATTGCAAAGCAATGCATACACTTGAAATATAAATATTAATAATTAGAAGTAATAAATATTGAATATATTCATTATTAATCGTGCAGAGCGAGAATAGATGGTGTTTAATACTCTTAGTAGAAGTCCTGTGCATAACATTGATGCGCCTAATTTTGTTATTTTAACATATGAAACTATTTACATCCTATATTATTCAATTCCTACTAAGTAAAATATGAGTTATTTTAACTTTTTTTACCAAGTGTTTTCAGAGAAAATAAAAAACTTTCAAGTGTTTTAAGTGAGGCGCTACTGGAAACAAATCATTTAATACAATGATTTTCAACATGGGGGTCCCAAAAAAAAAAATTGGGATATTGTCAACATTTCAAGTACTATGTATACTACTGTACACCTACCTGTATCATAGTATTCCGAGAAATATCCACACAATATAAAACATAGTGTAACTATCCTATTTAAAATAAGTAAATAATAGAGCGTGGACTTCTAGGTAAAAACATGTTTTTAATGTATGCATACACAACCACGAGAATAAGATATGTCAATGATTCACAGTACAATGAATCTGCATACAAAATTGTATTTTGCATTTAAGTGTTATAGAGAATATATTCATATAAAATCATTTTTTTTACATATTTGACTGAACATTTTTTTATATTATATAATAATTTATTAAAGGGTAAATCATAGGATAGTTTTCAATGTCACTACGATTAGATAATTGACAAATGATAATTAAATGCAAAAATTATTATTTGACTGTTTATCATAATAAGAAAACTATAAATGATGTTGAAGCACGCTGGTCAAATTTTTGATATCTAGTGGTCATTTTACAGACAACAGACTACCTACGAGGTTACAACTTGAATAATTGATAATAATTTGTTACTGTGTCAATTATCACATGTTTTCCTTCAGTATGATAACGAGTTATCAATTTTTAATTGAAGTCTAATTAAATTAAAAATCTTTTTATATTTTATGACTGTTGTGCTTTGATTTACAAGATTTAATTTAATGAAATGTCAAAACAATCTAAAAAAATTTAGCGTATCATTTTAATAATGTTATTGATTTGGTAAATTATTATTTAACAAATTGTTTTAGATTTAAATACAAATTTTAATATAAGGAGAATATACTAATATAAAATGATAGTTTTGTATATTTGAATAATATTTTCAGAGGATATTACAAGCATATATTCAAAATTTTAAGAGAATATATGCATCATATTTTGGTTATTTTAAGAGAATATAAATCTGTGTTCTAATAATAAATATAACATAGGTCTAAAGGAAAAAAAAATATATATGTATATATTTACCGGAGTTATGACTAATGGTTTCCCTTCAGCCTTAGCTGTGGCTGCGGCCTTAGATAACAACTTATTTTCAGTAGGCTTGTGAACGAAACGCCAAGTTCCACTCTTGTAAACCACTTTCCATGTAGCTGTACCACTCAACAAATTTTGCTTTGGTTTTTTCGAGGGTATTTTCTTCAGGGTACCATTTGCAAGAGCCTTCTTTTTCTCATCATATTTAGCAAAGTATTTCTCTCTACTTGGCCTCACCTTCTTCTTTACAATAGGAGCCTTCACTTCTTCTTTCTATAACACAATTTTAAACAACTTAATAAATTTCCAACTCTTGGTAAATGTCACAACAATTTTGGATTTTTACAGACTCATTATGTTAAAACCAAGAATACACAAAATAATACATTCAAACACTGAATGATTAATGAAGTTTAGATTATTTAAAATGAAATATGGATGATATCCAAAATTTATTTATTTTTTTTTTAAAAAAATTATGATATTTCAAATAATCAGTGATTATGATCACAACCCACAATTAGATTTCATTATAAGACTTTTAAGAATAAACAGATAAAAATAATTACTTTGCTTGCTCTTTTTCTTTTTCCAGCTTCAGTTTTTACCTCTGCCTTAACGTCAGCCATCTGTAACACAATTTAAAATAAATTAATATACCAATTTCAAGTAAATACACCGTAATCCATGATAAAATAACAAGTTTAATTGTCCAATAGTTAATCATACTGAATAACAATATCCAGTTTGCCATTTTCAACAATTGTTTTTATTTTATAACTATAGTATGTAATATGATGTACACATAAAAAAAACAATAAAATGACACAAAACGGATACAATGATAATGTGCAAGGCCTGTATATTTTGAATTTGTTACTATTACACTGTTATTTTATCATTAATTTTTATCATCTACATATGCAAAATAAATAATAATCTGTTAAATGCAAGTTGGACATTTGAAAAAGTTTGTTAATTGATAAATGCCATATTTTCAAGATTATTTTAAACTTAAGAATAAAATATTATCCCTAGTTAATTCAAAAATATATAAAATACAATGTTATTGTATAATTTTAGGTACCCAGAAATACAGCATTTCAAAAATAATATCCATCATGGAAATATTACAAATAAACCTAGATCTTGAATTTTTTAAAACAAAAAATAATAAGCTAACGTAAAAATGATTTGTTACTTTGGTACCTACTTACATTCCTATATAATTATTTAACAAAATGTATATTTTAAATCATTTAATATCTAGTTTAAACATATAGGTACCATTCATTCACTAACTTTACTTTAATTTACATTATTGTTTAATAAGTGACTTTGGAATGGAAGTAATTAGCCGTCTAGGTACATAAAACTGTCATCAAAATTTTATGACAAATAGGGAAAGTAGAATTTGGGTATGTAACTATTCAATTTTTTTTTTCGAATGTTATATGAAATAAAAACATAGGGCTAGCAAATTAAATAACAGTTGTTTCGTTATTAGTAAATGTTTTAAGTATTAATAATGCCAATTAATAAGCCAGTTTCGTAAGCTTTCAGTTTTCGGACCTAGTGAATTTTACAAGACCATTGAAAATTCTCTAAATTATAATGACCAAACTTCTATTATAGTTTCAAGATTTCCATTTCATTCTACATAAATCAAAATCATCGTAACTATTTAAATTTGTATGATTAAGCAGATTAAAACAGATGAAAACAGTACTCACTTTACTGGAACGGTTGATGGACACACAACACAGACACTACGTTAATAAAAATTGTTAAAGAACGAAAAAATAAGCAAAAGCAATAAGCATCAAATATTAGAATGGTTTATGAATACAAACAATAATTGAGGTTACATTTGTATGCAGTGTGACCAACGTATAATTAGAGAAGATACAAGTTTTATGGTTTTATCACGAATTAAGATATTCAGGATACGATAACACGTTATCAAAATATCATGACAAATTATATCCATCGAGATAAAGAATACGTTGTTATACACATTTATATATATTATATATATTCTTTATCTCGATGATTATTACAAGGGCTTATAGATAATATTTTCAATAAACCTTGAGATTATATGAACTGTCGTATATTCATAGACCTGATAATATCAGGTACATATTAGGACTATATGTTTATAGGTCTATGGGGGTACTATAGAAGACGATTTTATTAAAGATAATATTATCTTAATTCATGGATTCATAGATTTATACCGCGAACTAAACTGATGTATAAGATGTGTAAGACACTTCAATAGATGTACAAGTCTATGATTTTATAACTGTTCATGGTACGATTCAAAATAATATTGTCTTAAATCATTCACGGTTCATGCATAAATAATAATCTTTATTATCTATGGGTTCATAATCAGATCTAACCATTATATCGTTAAAGCGCTATAAATAATAATTTGTTTCGTGTTCTAATATCGTTAGACCGCGCTACCATTTTGAAACTTATCTATATTAATGGATCGCGCCACCAGATTGGGTGGTAAATCGCGAATTGGGCAGTTTATCGATTTCAAAATAGTATGTTTAGATTTGAAAAATAAAATAATAGACTATTTTATACGGATTATATTAATTTAAAATTTTTAAGAATGTTAAATTTTATTGATTTTTTAAAAAACACGGACATCCTTCGCACAATGGGTGGACCACAATTGTATGTAAGAACTTAGGAAGGTAGGATATAAAGGGGAATTTAATGCAAGTAAATTTGTGTGTAACGATTTAATATTTGCTAATGAAAAAAAATTCTTAGCGGAGTTCGGTTAAAGTCATAGTATTTACGGTTTTCGTCAAAACTCAATATTAAAATTTTTAAAAAAAATACTACATATTATCCACTAAAGTATGACTTATAATGAACTTCCTGTTAAATGTTCAAACATTTTTATTTAGTTAACAATTTTATTCACATAATTAAAATATATAATATAAATAGCTCAATTTTATCCCATCTAGAAAAAACAAATATAAGTCATTTGTCAAAATTTTATAAAAAAAATAAAAAAACATTATTTTTGTTAATTTTCCCTTTCTGTTTTTTTTTCGTTTTGTTCAATCATAAAAATAATCGCTTGAAAAATCAAAAAACAATCAAGATAAAAAAGTATCAACTAGATAATTTTCTTTTTAAAAAAAATGAGCTACATTTGATACATAAAAGCAAGATTTCTAGTAGAAATTTTGTACACAATATGAAAAAGAGCTGATATCTACTGAGAACGTGTGCAGTCACTGTTGTGGGTAGTTGGGAAGGTGGAATACATTCTAAGGTAGGTATTTAATTTATACCTGTAAGTAAAAATAAACCATTACTAATGAAAACAATTCTGAGCGAAGGAAAAATCTAAATTTTCACACAATGGATGAGTCACTATTATAGGTGAAAAGTTGGGATAGTAGAAGGGAAATTTAGTGTAGGTATATGTAGTAAATGTAGTAAATGTATATCTGTACACAGGGATTAACCATGTCTAGAAAAGGCAATTATAAGTTTTTTTCTGAATTTCAAGTCTCTACTGACATGTTGAACTGAATCAAACAAAACAAAAAATACAAAAAGTAATACATTTCGTAAATTTTCCTGTTTTTCCCTATTTATTATGAAAACCCATAAAAAAAAAAATCAAAAAAAGGCTTCTCTAAAGTACCGCTCCAGTCAGATTTCCTTTCAGAAAGTGCTATATTTGAAAATCGGAGAGGAATTGCTTGGAGAAAAGTTCTTCACAGATAAAAAGCAAAAAATTAATATTGTAAAACCAATACATTCTTTGCTCTGCTCAAAATTATAAAAATAATGATAGGTAATAACTGAAAACTATATTGTCATTTTTTCACCATAATGCGTATGGAGTTGTTAGGTGATTAGGCAACTAAAACTCAACATAATTATGTATATATGTACTATCGTTTAAATATCAAAATGTACAAATGGTACATAAATATGAAGATTGGAACAACTAATCTATAGACCAGAGGATTCAAATTAACTCTATTATATTCCATAATGGTCATATATTCAAAAATGTGTATGGAAACTTACATTCTATTAATTTTCATTCAGTTATTTTATGCTGAGCTGAAGATTTGCAGTATTATTTTCTGGATTTTCATTATATTCCACTGATATACATTATCAGATAAAAAGTAAACACATGTTCACTTTGAAGTAGTGGCACACCTTTTGTTAGTCACATGATCATTACGCATAATGTATAGTAGTATCCATTGTATACAATTTAAGCCCTGTAGTCATTTAGAATTTAGGGATGTAAGTGATCGGTAATCTAATAGCAAGATGACATATATTTTTTATACTATTATTACTCATTGTCTATTTATTATTGTAATTTTCATTTGAATGCATTTTTTTCAATAGAGTTGTATTATTCTCAATTTTTTTTGTAAAATTTGTTACAAATTAATTTTACATACCATCAATACTATCATCACTGCACTGTAATTTTATTCATCCTGTTATTATTCAAAGGGAGAAAACTCTTTTTATTAGAGCAGAAGTTACTGGCGTACAAAAGATGTACAGCAAAATGAATTGAAGACTTGGAACTGTGATATAATTTTCTTTGAAAGGACAGAATCATTGCATCCATTTGCCTCGCTTGCAATTTTTCTTTTAGTTTCTATTTTTTACTCTTTTCATACCTTAATTTTAAATAATCAAAATTCTTAATATAGATTAATCAAAGAGCTAATCTCAATTTATAATATCATTATAAACCGCCTGCAAGGCTTCTTTTTGATTTACAGTTTAGATTCTAGACTGCACCACAAGCCAACATCGAAGAAATGTACTTGAATTCAATTTTATAATGCCTCCTGGCATGCCTTGGGTAATCTTGTTAACATGATAGAGTAATATCATTGGGGATTTTTAATGAAAATGCAACAACGCTGATGTCGCTATGTTATCTCAGATAAATTCAAGAATACAGATATCACTATTAAATGTGTTTTGATTACAGTTGGAATAATTTGCAATTTTATTATTTTCTCTTGTGTATTAAATATTATTTTTTTTTTTTTGATTAGTAATAATATTTATCATTTATTTTTTATTATTAAAATCAATTTATAAATTACAAGGTTTTTTCATATAAAAAAATAATAATATTAAACATACTTATATAATGATAGTAAAATTAATAATTTTAGTCAGTTTTAATTGTAGTAGAAACTTTTTAGTAATGTAAATTAGGTTAAAGTGCAAAATAGAAAAAAACAATGAAGCATAATTTATCCTTTCAGTGACGACATGCCTGCTCTCATTATTTCATCGACAAGCAAGAGATTGCTAGCAATAATAGTACTATAAAAAAGAAAAAAACAATACAATAAATATAATTAAAAGTTTAAAATAACTGTTTAGACTCAATAATGAAATTGAAATTCCATACCATGAGTTTAAGATTTGTTTTTTCACACAGTAATTATCAAATATTCCAGCATCTACTGGTTGGAGAACTTCACCACTATCAACATTTACTCCTACTGGACCATTGCTCTCTCTGCTCTCTTCTTGTAATTTAACTATCATATCTTGAGCATCAAAGCCACTATTGATGGCTAAAAATATTACACAACAAAAAATTATATAATTGCAAAAAAAAAAATAAAAACTAAAATTACAAATGGTTTTAGGTATGATCAATAAAGCCTCAGCATAAGCTTGAACTCCTAAGCGACTTTTGCCTTTAATTTCATCTTTAAATTTTTGTAATTCTTGCCAAGCATATATTTCAAAAGCCCCAGCTCCTGGTACTACAGCACCTGAAATGAATGATCATTATTTATAACATTTTAATATATAGCTCATTTATAACTCAATTAACAATCATTAATAATTACAGTCATCAATAGAGCTTTTAATTGCTCTCAAACCATCATGAATAGCATCTTTGATCTGGGTTAATGTATATTTATTAGGTCCTTTCATCAATATGGTAACACTTAGAGGATTTTTACAACCTTCAACAAATGTATATTTATTTTCACCCTAAACAAAATATTCAAAACGTGTACATTATTAATTTATTTTATTTATAATAAAACAAAAATCTTACCAATACATATTCATAAACCGAACTAGCATAACCAAGGATATCTTCAGTTAAATCATCAACACTGTTAACAGCAGATCCGCCACATGCTAATGACAGACGCTCCATATTACGCCTCTTGGCACGTCTTAAACCAATTATGCCTTCTTTTGCCAACATGTCCAGAGAAAATGGATCAATACCCTACCATATATATACGATTAATAACACATGTATGGAAAAATTAATATAATATTGTAAAATCGAATTAATATACACATTTCTTTGGTATTTAATAATGTGCATATTACCTTTTGGTTTATAACAACAAATGATTTTCCAGAGCCAGGGGGACAAACTTTTCTTTTCAATTCGATGACTTTTTTTACTCTTTGTTCAATAAAATCACGTTCTGCTAATGCTAATTTTTCTCTTTCTTCAGCAGTTTTGTAGAAAAATCCAGAATTTACTTCACTAAATAAGAATATTAATACTAAATATTTGTTTACAACAAGAATGATGATTAATTATTTTGTTACCTTTTTTCATATTCCATACTGACATTACAAGTCAAAATATAAGCATTGTCAACTTTTCTGGGCATATCTGGATGTCTAGACCCATGGTCAAGAACTAGACCTACAATAAATAATTTTATTATACCTTTATTTTTAAAATAGTAGATAAATAATTTACCTTTTATAAGAGTTGTTTCAGTAGATGTCTTATGTTGCATCTCCATTAATTCGACCATGTGTAAATTTATACCATCTTCACGTTGAACACTTAATACAGCATCAACACACATATCTGCCATTTGATCTGCTAATTTTTTATCTACTTTAGTGCGAAGAGAAGTAGTAGCCACATTGTAAAGTAGTTGACGATCTGGTTTTCCTACAACTTTTATTTCTTCCAATAATTCCAAGGCTTTATCTTTAGCTTTAATCATACCTTCTGTTAATACTCTAGGATGCACACCCTAAAACAAATATATTTTTATATTATTTAGTATGATTATTATTGGATGAAAAAATGTTTGCTCAAATATATTACATTTTTACCTCAGAAATAAGATTTTCAGCTTGTTTTAAAAATTCTCCAATAATCAAAACTGTAGATGTAGTTCCATCACCAGTTGCATCATCCATGGCAGTAGATGCCCTGGCAATAAGACTGGCTGTAGGATGTTGTATTTGCTGAAAAAGCATGAATACGATATAGGTATACCATATGCAATAATTAAGTTAATATCATTATTTAAAATTTGTAAAATTATTGTACAAAAGACCCCCAATTTAAAATGAAACTTTAAGTTTACATTTAAATGTTTATTTAAATCAGAATTTAATAAATTATAACTATTTATCTTATTAACATTACTTTACTACAATTAAAGATATAATTTGCATAGATTTTATATCTTCTTCTTAATGTTTAAATGTAAATCACTATTAAATAATAAATATCAAATATAATTTAAGGAAGTAACTAATAGATAGATTGCAACCAAAGATTAATCACTGAATACTTAAGTATAATGTTTTTATTACCATTTCTTGTAAGAGTACATTGCCATCTTTTGTAATTTTAATATCTCCAGCTCCAGAGACCAACCTAGAATTAAATAATACCATTAAGTAAAATAAAATGATAAATTCAAATTTAATTTGAGTTATTGAGATAATGTTGAACAATTAAGGTTGTATCTGACAAATTTCCGAATTGCCCATAGAAAATTGAATATTTCCACACAAAAGTACGTGAATACATGTGTATAAGAGATTATTGAATTGATGGTTTAATAGAATAAAATGGTTATTCATAAAATTCCAAGTATCTACCTACTAAGTATACCTATGATTTCATAAAAAATCTATAAAATTGTTTTATTCTTAAAATATTCAAATAAATTAGGTAATAATAATAATATTGATAATACCTAATGTATATTAAAATGTTTGTGCGCACCAGATGGTCTAGAAATTAAATTAAAGAAAAAACCCATTTATTTGCATGTAATATTTTTCCATCTAAAAAAATCGTAAGTGGTAAAAATTACAAACTCATTGTAAATAGTATTTATTATTACAGTTAATATACTTGCTTATGTTTGACACTTTAGGCTACTAACATTTTCATTGTTCCCTTTGGTCCCAAGTTTGTCTTCATCACATCTTGTATACCTTTAGCAGCTGAAATGTTTAAAGACAATGCTTGGGCAGCACGCGCAAATTCCGCTTTTGGATTTAAAAGACTTATAGCAGCCATTTCGGTAGAACTCCAGAGTCTAGATTAAGGGATAGGATACAATGGAATAAGAAACTGAAAAATATAAATACTACTGAGTACACGAGGGTTAAGGAATGACTTATTATCTATGGTAGTAACTAATTTTAATCTTGAGATAGTACTATCTTTAATCGTGCTTAATGTTTATGAGCACAGAAACAGAATATTATTCTGTGTAACGAACACGGACGCATATACATTCGTGGTAAAGAGTAGAGTTTTTAAAAAAATGATAAGGATATCAAAACAAAAAATTACTGCCAACCATTGCCAACGAAAATATCATAATTTGTAGACACCCATAGATAATTTTATAATTGTGTAGACACTTTAGATATTATTTCTAGATTTAATATACTATTAATATACTAGTAGACTATATATATATATATACCTGTGGTCATTGGTATCTATGGCCGTGATTTGGAATAGTTAATGCATTTTTATCCATTCTGTGTTACATCAAACAAAGGGGCAACATATAGGCAAATTATTTACAGTCTTGAGGGGCACTGATAAGAAATTGTTGCCACTCTTTGTAAAGATTGTTGTTTTTAGTTTTTGATATTAGAGAATAGTGATCAGTGTCCAGTGATATAGGGTATTTAGTATTTACCTTTCTGTGGTCATGTAGGTACGTGTAAAATTAAAAATATATAATGTACAAAATACACTAAGTGAACCTGAAATATTTTACATAATTTGCATACCATTTATCTATTTATGCAAATATACAATTTTAGATATGCTTATTACATTCATCAGCACGTTAGACATATGATCATTTTCTTCTTATTTAAAACGCGTCAGGTTCACTTAGGTATGATTGAAGTACACAAACATATATTTTAAGAATGGTCCACTTGTTGGCTAGTTCAATTCAAAGTCACTACGTTTTACTTTATTAATAACAGTTTTTTCGAAAATTAATCAAACGTACCTATTAAAAATGACTGATTATTCAAGATTTGAAGATGATATCATTATAAATTCATATCATTCCCAATCGCCCAGTAAGTATCATTTGTGTTTCCTAAATTTTGGTTTGTATTGGCTTTAATATAATTTACACATTTATTTATTTATTTTTTAAATAGATCGCAACGGAGATGTCCCATTATGTGTTAATGATACAACATTACCAAATGAAGATGGTGAAAATATAGATTTAAGAAATCATTTTGATGGGCGTTTAGATGTGATATTTAGCGATGGTGATCGTAGAATTGATGTTGATCAATTTTGGGAGATGAACTATCATGAAGCATCTATATTTCTTGAAGTGAGTACTTTATTAGTTTCTTGGGTTTTAAGTGTTTCATATTATGATATAAAATCAGGAAGGAGAAAACAATGAAAAATTTGATTCTCATCCACATGAACCTGAAGCTCTTCCAGCTTACCTCTTGGTTCATAATGACTGGTATTATGGAATGGATTTGGCTACATCATTAGTTTTAATTGTACTGGCATTTGCAGAAAATCCAGCAACGCCACCATTTCAAGTATGAACATTATTGTAAATAATTATTGATATTTTTATTTTTATGTTTTCCTTTTATTTTTTTATAACAGATGCCAATTGCTCTTCACAGTATTATTGAACTTCTGGCTCTTGCAGTAATTGGTCTAGGATTAGCATTAAAACTCAGATGGATGGGCTGGTTAACAATTTTGAAACACAAACGAACTATGTTAAAAGTAAGTTTAATATTTGAGAATTAAATAATATGTATTTAGAGCAATAATTGATAATAATTTATTTTATATTACTTAATACATTTTAGTTAACTTAATTAATATTTGTTTGTTCTTAATTATAGTGCATAACATTGACAATAATGATTGTTGAAGCATTTATTGTTTTAATACGTCAATCATCTCATTTTCGGGTGTCAAGAGCATTACGGCCAATTTTCTTAGTGGACACTCATTACCTGGGTGGTGTTAGACGTTTCATTCGACAAATACTTCAATCATTACCTCCTATATTCGATATGTTATTATTGATATTTTTTTTTGTAACTGTTTACTCAGTACTTGGTTATTATTTATTCAAAAGTACAACTGATATACACAATCATTTTGACACTTTATTTAACAGTTTTGTCAACATGTTTGTTTTGTTAACTACAGCCAAGTTAGTTAATTTTTAATTTTAATATTAATAACAATTATAACTAGTCAATTTTTAGTTTTCCAGATATTATGATGCCAGCATATTCAAAATCTAAATGGTATTCATTATTTTTCATCTCATACTTATGCATTGTATTGTATCTCCTTATGAATTTGGTTAGTTACTAATTTTTATCGTAACATATGTCATAAAATATCTGTTATAATACTAATTAGCAATCGTTAATTAAATTTTTAGATGTTGGCTGTGGTTTATGAAACTTTCACCAGTATTGAAAGAGACAAATTCCGAAAATTATTATTGCATAAACGGCAAGCGTGTAAAAATGCATTTAAGCTCTTACTGACCAAAGAAAACCCCAATCAAATGGAATTTACACAGTTTGAAGGAGTTATGAGATATTATGCACCAAAAAAAAGTATTATTAAACCAATAAATACACCTAGAAATTCTATATTCGGTATTATATCATTTGCAGGCAACAGAGATTTACTAGTAATGTTTAGATATTTGAACACAAGTGGTTCTGGTTCATTGACTATTGAAGAATTTTATGGCATATATGACTCTGTAATGATGACTTGGCAGCCACAAGCATTAGATACACCTTGGTATTTTACAGCTTCCCCAACGGTGCAAAAAATTTGCCAAACTGCAAATTCTATCATTTCGTGGCCATACTTTGATCATATATTTTGTAATAAATTTATATGTTAATAATTGACATATTTAATATGATTATAAGTGTAAACATTTTTTTTTTTTTAAATTTTAGATGTCCTGACTGCTTTAAATGGAATTGCAATGATTGAACGCGGAATGCAATCTTATCCTAATTTGTCAACTTCAGTATTGGCATTTAGTGCAGGATGGGATACTTGTTTTTTCTTAGGATGTATGATTTTATTTTATTAATATATTTTTGTTTTACCTTTTTATATGACAAGTAAACAAACTTTAAATTTCAGGTTTTACTTTGGAAGTTGCATTAAAAACACTTGGCATGGGATTAGAACGGTATTTTTCATCTGGCTGGAATTTATATGACTTTGTTGTAACTTTTGGAGGTCTAATTGCTGTCATATCACTGCGACTATTTCCAGATTTTGTTTATCTAGTTGTATTTAGACCTCTTAAACTTTTGCGTCTATTTAAATTAAAGAAACGCTATCGAGACATTATTGGCACTATGGCAATTTTATCACCTCTAATTAAGTCTGCTGGATGTGTTATGCTTGTTATGTATTACTTTTTTGCCATTATTGGCATGGAATTATTTGCTGGTTATGATATGAGAAATTGTTGCAAGTAATTAATATAGTTTAACTAAGTCTATTTAATTAAAAATAATATTATGAAATATATGATATACATTTTTTTAGTGGTACAAACATTGAGACATATTACAAATATACACCAGATAAGTCTGGTTATTATTATTTGAATACTTTTCCTAATTTGGCTGTCAGTCTTGTAACCCTATTTGAATTGACTGTTGTTAATAATTGGTTTGTTGTGATGAATGGATATGCAACAAAAGTACATGCTGCTAGCCGAGCGTACTTTGTGTTATTTTATCTCTTTACCATGGTTGTATTAACAATAGTTGTAGCGTCAGTTCTAGAAGCTTTCAGATTCCGAATTCAATATAAAAAGCAAACTACAAAACGAGATGGTAAAAAATGTTTTATATAATTTTTAATGCATAATATTAATTTTAATGATTTGTAGAGGAAAAACTACTTCATGAAGAAATTGAATTAAAATGGGAAGATGTTATGAATTATGTAAAAGATTTTCAAGCATTACAAAAATATCGATCTGATATGTTTGTTGGTGTTGTGAGTACCTTTCAAATATATGAATTTGTATCTTTAATATAATTTTAATGTTTTTAAGGGTAAAATATCATTTTTGGGAAGTCGACCTAGAAATCGTCAAGTACTGCAGCGGCGTATGTATAGACATGAAATAGAGCAATGGATGCAAGAAGCCGCTGCTGTTGATAAGTGACTATAAATTAATACGTTTTTCAACACTAAAGAAAACAAATTTAATTTAGGGGATCTATTGAAAGGTACCTAATTAAATTAACTAACTATAACATGTATACGTTATCTAAGGCAAAAGTAATTATAACACTAACTGCAATTTTATTTTTTTTAAACAATTTATAATATTATGTGCTAGCAATTTCACTGTACTCATGGTACATACTTTAACAATTTGAATTTATTGTTTCCAATCCTAATTTTTTTTTTTTTTTACCATTTGTTTTTAAACTGTCGAGAATTATATTTATCACACTTATCACTTATCAGGTACTTTAAAGTGATAGAGATATTTCAAAGAAATTCATTAACATTTAAGTATTACATTACAACTTATGAATCATCTCGTGAATCATAAACAAAATATTACATTATTCAGTATTGATTTTAGTCTGTGATTATAGTATTATATTGAACAAAAACGAACAAGTATTAAATTTGTTACTATTTTTTTTTTTTATGTTTCCTAGTGAATTATTTTGTTTTGTATAATTTTTTTTTTTTTTTGTTTAGAACTATTTATTACTGTTGTAAATCAAATATATTATTGCCTGTGATTAACATTATATTGTATTCATTGAATATATTTCATGAACATTTATAAACAAAACATCATAGTTGAGATGTTAAATTACTCAATTTTTTATTATTGAATTTATTTAGCTAATTAAATATAAAACTTATCATCAACTAGGTAATCTAAGCATTAAAAAAAAAGTAACAGCTAAAATGTGTTTAGTTTGTACAACTATTAGTTTCATGAAATTATTTGGTTATTAGTTCAAAATCAAAAAGTACAATAAAATTATAAAGGGAACTACTATATCATATTTATATTGGTTTTCTTTTCAAAATTTTATTGGATTTAGAAATTAATTTTATTTTATATTTATATAACCTGAAAATGGCTTAGGCCCAAACTAGTAGTTACCTTTATTATTTTATTATGTATTTTATTTTTGAATTAATAATCCTTTAATTTTTATAATATTTTAATCAAGTATAAAATTTACTATTATTATATTAATTTCAGGTGATGATTTAAAGTAAATTATTGAGATTTGAGTGTTATATTTAACAGTGCAATGTTTAATGGCTAATGAGTAATACAACCACAGTATCAATATGTATTTTATTTCTATACCATCAACTTAACTAATAAAGAATATTATTATCTTATAATACATCTGTACATTCACAAATTATACTTTTTTTTATTTAACTTCTTTAAATCTGAATAATTTAAATATTTTCTAAATACCACCCACTCATCCAATAATATTAGCATAGGTCTCTTATAAAGTTATAAGTATTTTTTGATATTGAAAATAACCTTACATGTTTACAATGGTATTTAAATCAAACCATAATATTTGATTCTTATTTGCATTTTTAAACTGGATTCCAAATCAAAATAGCTTTAAATAGTATAGGTATAATACATTATTATATGATATTTTAATAATTATGAATAAACTGTGTGTTTTATATATTACCCCTTTACAGCTTCAATGAAAAAAAAGCCATTTACTTACTATTTTTTCGTAATTGCAATAATACATTGTGATCACTTTAAATAGCAAATAAATTACTATAACTATATTTTAGTACAGTCACTAAGTCTTCCTTAAAACCAGTGAAGTAGAACAATCATCCAAGTTCCTAATAATAAATTTAAAATAGAACAATTAATATTCAATTATTGTATATACATTTTATATAACCAACATAATTTTAAACTATAAACATTTGAATACATTACGAAAAATTAGTTTTAAATAGTCGTCAAATATCATTGTAATAATAGTTTTAGATCAATATCAAATATTTATATATATGTATGTGTTGTGTGTAACTGTGCATGTGTATTATAATATTTAAGAGTACCTGAACTGTAAAACAACACATTTTTAACATAATTACTTATTTATTTATTATTGTAGTTTATTTTAATCAAATATGGTGTTTTAATAGTATTATTATGGATAAAACATTTTTAATATTGTAGTAATTATGGTTGTTGACTTAGTCTATTTTTGTTTTATTAATTATTCTTTGTGATTAATAAATTATGTATGTAGATTATTACTATGTATGCATTTACTTTATTCTATTGGTTTAATTGTGTACACACAATAAAAATTTTAATTTAAAATAGATGATGTAAAAATTTTTTTTTTGACATATCTTTCAATAATAAGTAATTATACTAACAAAAAATGTAAAATTGTTTATTAACAGTTTTTTTTTTTGTTTGTCCCAAAAATATGATAATTGTTGGTCAGAATATTGAGTAAAATATTTATTTTGAACCTCTTTGATAAATAAATATACGCTTAATTGGAATATAATTTAAAAAAAAAAACAAGTTGTTCTAGAATCTAGATTAATACTCAATAAAATGTCAAATATATATATGTATGTATATTATTATAGTAGGATTTTGCATTGATTTAAATTTTACACAATCATGAATTTTTCTAATGATTTCATATAAAAATTATCATGAGCAATATCATAAATAATGTTAATATTGTATTTATTCAACGAATCATTATAACAAGTCTCATAAATGTGTGAACGTTCTAAAAATAATGATAATAATTGAATGAAACGGATAAATTATTGTGCTATAAAACAAAAATGTTTCACAAAAATATATACCTACCACTTTTGATAATGTAGTAGGTTTATAAATGTAAATGAGATAGTAATAAATTGTATGTTAATAAAACTAATAAAAATTTTAAAACCACATACTAAATGCTTAGCTCCGAAATTCCAATTTCGTAAGGTGTGTTTAAGAAAATAACACTGGAAACTGGAAAGTATATTGCATCAACGATTTCATTATTTTTGATTTTGTTTATTTTTTTCAATGTAGTTAAAAATAATTGTTTAAGCCTGAAATTTTAAAATCAAAAACCATGAGTTAATGTTGAAATGTTAACCAATATATTGGTAGAAAATCGAATTTATTAATACTTTTTTCATAATAGAAATTTCACTCCGAAAATATTGGTTTTTCAAAAGCTGATACCACAAATATCCAATATCAGTTTATGTTTGGACCACCGCAAAAGAATATGTGTATTTCTCTCCAAAAGCCTTGCATTGAATGAACTATGTTTTGCTTACTATTTAGTGAGTTCTACATAATAGCGTTTCAAACGCTGAGTATCCCGCGGCGTTTTCCGATGGGCGAGCTATACAAGATGTATCCGTCAAGCGTATTCCGCCTCATATATCTATAAAATGTTTAAAAAAAATGGTAAACCCCATAATTATTGTATCAATAGTATAAACATATTCATCTCAATCGAATAGCACAAATTAATAATAAGCGCTCATCGATCGATCATTTGCACTAGTCAGTTCGTAGTAGTAGGTAAAACGTTATGCCGAAAATTACATCAGCACTAATAATTGTTATAAATAAGGCATTGGAGGGAGAGAAATCTTTACACAGGGGGAGTATGTATTAAAATAATTTACATAGTTTTAATATGCCATCATATATATATATATTAGTAACGAAATAAAACTGAAATCATTTAATATATCCGTGTTATAAGCTGGTTTCATGTTTGGGAACTTATAACTTTGTTTCGCTTACATTTGGGTATAATTTATAAATATAAACGATGTTATCACACATGATGGACAATATGGTACTGTTCTATACTTTCATTGAGGTTTACATAGGTCAATTATTTTTTGTTTTTAACTTGGGTAATTTTGTTCACAAAGTTATTCCGAGTTACAAATGTTCCCAGAGTGTTCTCGATTCACCCAATTTTCAAGTTTTGGTTGGGGAGAAAATGGGAGGAAGCTTCAATGTACTTTGATATACCAATATTTTACGACACCACCTATTGAACTTTTTTACAATTTTTATTAACAAAACTGTTCTTAATACTTCCATGAATTAAAATTAGGTGACCAATACAAATTATAAACACCAATTAATTATCGAAATAATGTATTTACTTAGATATTTTGATACTTCTTATCAGATATGAAATAATTTAACATTTTTCTTTACCTATATTAATATTAACATAATATTGGTACCTACCTTCACATAAAATATTTAATCTATTTATTATTTATTGAGTAGGTAATTAAATTAAATATATAAAATATAGAATATCCATGTAAAATTATTGTATTCATAAAATTATGGTGTAATTGCAGCGTTTTCCGTCACCAGTATAGCCCATCCTAGTTTAAAACAATGTAAAATTAGGAGTTTGAGTTTTAACACTTCGACATTCGCCAAAACGCAAACCAACCAGCGTTTTCCGCTACAGATGAAAATGCAGCGTATTACATTTGTCGTGTATAGTTATTAAAATATACATCAATACATTTTGAATTTGATGATAAACGTCTCGCAATACACCGTGTATAGCCCCAACCTAACTAAACACATTGCGTGACAAGGACCTAAGAATATCCACCATTTATTTTATATTTTAAAATCAATACCTACTACAAGTTACCATAATACTGTTCACACAATACATAATATGCCAGTATATTTGATTTTTAATAAAAAGAAATTTTTTTTTTATCAGTAAAGGGTGAGGAGACATTTTTAATATTAAGGTAGTTGAAGTGGAATCATTTATATACTATACTTAATATTTTATAGAGATTCATAGCAAAGTTTTAAAGTTCAGGCATAGAAAATAAAGATTTATCTATATAAATCTCTATGGATTGTCATTTAAAACGTGGTATAGGGCTTCAAGGATTTGGCAAAGGTCTTTGGACTGATAGGTTTGGTTTAAGTATTTTTAATTTTTATTTGATAACTCAATTTATTATTAGACATTATAAAAAAATCTTTTAATATTGTTTGTTTATTATCTTTAGGTCTTAAGACCTAATTGATTAATGGAAAATAAAAAAATGTATTTATTTTGATTTAGATATTTTGTATATCAAAGAATGATACTACAGTATTAATTTACAAACTAAATAGTAAATATGGTACTTAAAAGTTATTAATAAAAAAAAAAAAAAATTGTATGCATTAATAAATATAAAATATTGTATTTTTACAAAATTATGGAACTATGATTGTCTTAATAAAATAATTGTGCTTATAATTATAAAAATAAAGTGTTTACATAATTGTTTTCCTTAAAATTATTACAGAGCCATTTAAATTATTTTTGACCCTGGCAAAATAAAAAATAAAAAAATATTATAAATATAATTTATATGTATACAAGAAATAATAAAATATGGCATAAGAAAAAAAATACAATTTAATAGTTTAGTTTATAAGACTTATTGTAGCAAAGGAACATTTTTAATTTGTAACAATTGAATTCATATAATATTATAATTAAAAAAATAAATGTTATACAAACATAAATTTGCAATCAATTCTTCAAAATAAATATTTATATATTTTATAATAAAAAATTGACTGTTGATTTATAATAGGCATATTTAAAATTATATTCTTTGTGGGATACATGTGTTAGGAAATATTAAATGTAAATGTGTCTTAAACTCTGAATTATATACTAGTATATAGTTCAGTGATTTAAAATGTATGAATGTACATTAACAAATAAAGTTAATTTGCAGTCTTGTAATCATGTGAAATTTAATGTGTCACAAATAAAATTTAGAAAAAAAAAACCAATTAAATTTTCAATAATACTATAAAACATAAGCGTATACATTTTATGAAAACTATTTGTCAAATAAAATTAATTTATATACATATATTTTAAAAACAACCAAAATTATAAATATTTGTATAAAAATTGTACTTAACGACTGATCTTATAACATTTCATCAGAACTACCATAGATAGTATATTAAATAATTAAAATTGTTCTTTGCAAAAATATTCAAGAAAAACTGCATTCCATATTACTGCTGAGCCTATCAACAGCACATAAATTATAAAACAAAACCAACACAATTTTTTTTCCCATGGGAGAACATTAAGATTGCGCAAGGTATAGACTCCAACAAGTAAGCCAGCAATAGCACCAGCCAAGTGCGCAGTATAACCAATCTAGACAAACATTTTTAAAAACTATATTAAAATTAAAAAAATATTTCATACTATACCATTAATCAGTTAATCACATACCTGATTATCTACATTCACAAAATAGCGATTGTAAATAGATGATCCAGTATCAAATGTTATTAAAAATCCAAATATTAATAATTGGTAAATCGCAAAATCCATTTCAGACCAATTCTATAAAATTAATGTAAACATTTAACACAGTACAATTTTGAAAACTTTTTTTTAAGAAGAAATCAAATTAAATAAGTAACTATTAAGAAATAATTATATAGATAACAGGTAATGTGCTTATGTATAATATACAAATTATCATTACAATTAATGCATTCTATAATATGAATATTTTGTTTACTGTATCACATTGTAAATTAAAATTTATTTCAATAACGTTGGTGCAATAAAAACATTATCCTGTACCATGTATTTAAAAATATTTTTTTCTCTTTTATTTTCTAATTTCATCATTTATAATGATGTATCTTTTTAATAAACTTACAATAATTATAGTAGCTACATGAGCTGTTATAAGAGCATAAACACCTCCAGAAGCACCAGCCAAATAAACTGTAGGATCTGTCACTGAAGTAGCTAGTGAACCAGCTAAAACACCTGACAAATAAATTAAAAGTACTCTCCAACCATGATGTACCATCTCTAATGGTACTCCAAGTAACAACTGTACTATTAAATTAACTACCAAGTGAGTGTTTCTAAAATCAGTAATATGAAATATTATTATTATCTCCAGTTTACATGTTTAACAACTATTATTTATTTAAATATAAACTTACCCAACATGTACAAACATGTAAGTAAAATACCGCCAAACTTCACGTCTACGATGTGGATTGTAAATAAATGTTGATGCCATAGGTCCATGAATTGACTCAGTTGTATTTAATTTCAAAACATCCCAACAAAAAAATAATACCTATTAAAAATAAAAATTAAGTCTAAAAATTGTAATATGACTTGTAATTTGCTAATTATATAGATTTTATAATATCACTTAGACTCTAAGCTTGAAACCAGTACTGAATACTAAATAAGACTGGTATACAACCCAGTGCCATTACATTTGTAATACTAGTATCATTTTAATGTGAAACAAAACATTTTTTGTCACTAAAAATAAATTTGGATGTAATCATGTTATATGAATAGTTAAGAAAAATAGATTAATTATCAAAAAAATAACAAATTACAAAATCTATATCAGGACTATTTTCTGTTATTGGGGAACTGAATTCTAGGGCTTTTAAATAAATACAAACATAAAATAAGGCCTTGAAACCAAATTACAAGGAACCCATCTGCCACTGGTAGCCAATAATTATTAACTCGGCAATATCTTAATAAAATACTAGGTTGTTGAATACTAAATATGTATTAGTAATATTAAAAATTGTAAGATCTCAATCAAATTTCACTAATGAATATGTTTTTATATTTTATATTACAAATAAATTAGTAGTAGTCAATGAATTGAAAAAATGTATAATATTATAATTAATCAGGGCTTAACCTCTATTGAATACTGGGATAAAAACAATTTTTTTTTTCAATTTCAAAATTGAATACAGACAATAGAAATAAAATAAATAAATAATAAATATTGTATATTTAATTGCAAATATGTTGAAGTATTTATGTTTAGTTTTTGTTGTACAACATTTAAACCAATTAATGATTTTAAATACATAAACCACTATAGCATTTTTAAAGGCTATTTTTATCAGTGAATTAGAACCTTATAACAAATTTATTATTTTACAAATTTCTGACTAAAAATAATATTATTTATTTAGTTATTTTTAAACTTGTTTGAATAACTGTGTATAAAAGTATTAACTTACTTCAATAAGACTAACAATTATCATACATAATGCAGGTGGGTTGCAAGAGTATTGGTCTTCATAATCACCATCAGTAAGATCTTGTCCACTTCTTAACCCTGCCCTTACACGATGATGTTCTCTTGGTACAACTGTATAATGTATATATTTGTTAAGTATACTTTTGCCTAAATTTTTAGCAATGGGCTCTTCTTCCATCTAACCAAACAAATTGATATTTAAGTTAAAGTTCTAGAAATAACTGTATATTAAAGAATATAACTAAACTTACTAAATTTAAAAACTCTCTAAAATTAATGTATCCATCTTGATCATGATCAGCTCTATGTGCAATGATTGTCAACACTTTAGGTGGAACATTGTATTGATCACCAGATTCTTGTTTTAAAACATGGTAAAGATCATGAACAGATATTTTTCCATCACGGTTTCTGTCAAACTAATACAAAATACAATTGATGAATCAAAATAAAAAGTTTATTTAAAAAAAAAAGAAAAACTTATACTCACTCGATTAAACAAAATTTCCCATTGCTGAAAAAAAAAAATTTGTATAGATAATTAAATTATTAAATTATAATATACAAGAATTTATAGTTCCACAACTTATTCTTTATACTATATAAATTAATACTCGTATATAGTGACACTCAATTTAAAAAAAAATAAACAGTCATACTTCACATTATACAAGGACTACTGTTGTAAGTGAAAAATTGGGAAGGTAGAAGAGAAATTAAATGTACTGATATCTGTATGCAACAATTAACTATTGCTAATAAAAAATGATTGTAAGTGGAATTCGGTTATGCATGTTTTGAAATGCTGTAATATTTAAAATTTAAATATTCATAAATTTTCCTATTTTTCCTACATTTTTTCGGGTTTTTTCCATTAACTATGAAAACCCATGGGAAAATCAAAATTTGAATATTTATATTCTTAACTACAAACTCCAATAATAACTTTGCAAAAACAATTGGATATCCCCTAAATCTCTTAACTTGAAATATTGTTAATAGCATAAACTATTCAATAGTTAGTTGATTTATTTCATTATTTGTAACTTTTCAAGTAAATATTGTGTTTCAAAATTTTTAAGTACAATAATATTATGAAAATTACGAAGATAAAATGGATTTAATGTTTAGTGATATACCAACTGATGTTAAATTTTTAAAATACCTAAATACCATAATTCAGGCTAAATAAAATTAATAATAATAACAATTATTATTATTATTTTCAATATAATACTAGCAAGTAGTTTTAAGGTACCATGAAGTGTACATTTATGGATCTTAAATTTTAACATTTCATAGTAGGTCTAGTTATAAAATAATAAATACCATAGGAATGAATCATGAAAATATTTTGTATGAATAATCAACGAATAAATGCATATAGCATTGTAAACATATTAAATAAATTATTTGGAAATCATTTAAATTTGTATAATTCAATAAACTATAAGTATTAATATTACTAATAATTTTCAAGATAAGAAAAATAAATAATAACGTGAAAAAAAAAATATTTTTATATGTCAATGACTAACCAGTCAGATTAATTTATATAGATGTTAATTTTTTCTACACTTAATACACTTAATTGTATTTTATGCAAACAACTAGGTAGTTGATAACAATATTTTGTAGGTTATTTCCATCTTAAATTTATAAAACTAGCGGGCTTAGGGGACATCCATTCAACACCAGTAAAACAATGACAAACAGTGAGAGTTTTAAGTATCTATTAATAAATAACATATTTTAAGTACCTATAATGAAATAAGGACAATCAAACAAATAACATATAATATTTATATTAAAATATAGGTATAAAATTTGTCTTGTCTAAGTAAACATTATATAAATTGCAGAATTTATAATCATTATTTGACATCCATAACGTATTTTTGACATGATTAAAGCACAGAAATAAATACACTTCAGCTAATTTATTTTAAAGATTTACACTGAAAGTTTGAAAACATACTGAGTGATCTAATCATTATTGAATCATTTAACATTTATTTTAATACTATTTTCAATATATTACCCCTACAACTATAAAACTTAAACCTAAAACCTATACCTAATGAATTGGGTGGAAATGAAGGTGTACATTTTTGATTTTCAAATAACAGCCCTCCTTTTTTAAACATAGATTCGAATAGACAACATTGTTCTAAAAAAATTTATATGTTTAACACTAATATTATTTTACCATTAAAAATACTAATACAATAATGGTTAAACAAAAACCACTTCAAAAATCTCAAAAATTAACAATCCCAAAAAAGATTAAAAAAAGAACAGATATCAAATTCACTTCACCCTTCAAGAACTCAACAGGGTTATAGATGAATTGATCACATTGTATACACAGTTTCCTTGTAACTTATTAATTATTATTTTTTGTTGAAAAAAAATGAATGTCTAAATATTAGTAATTTCTATCACACTCTTAACAAATAAAAGCACAGTAGAAATATTTAATTTTTAATAAATTATTATTATATATTTTTTTTTACAAAATTAGTCAAAAATTAATGACTTATTTTAAAAAAAATAATACATTTAATATAACGAATGTGGCCAAAAACACCTCAATAATGGTTTTAGTAGGAATTTTGAAAATTTATGGTAAAAACTGAAATGTCAAACTGATTTTGCTCCTTTTATTATGAAACGGCTGGTCACCGAGTATTTGTAAATATCGTTTTTACAAAATAACCTAATCAAATTTAAAAACACATAAATAATAATTTATAATTTATTACCGATTCGACACTGTCCAGTGGTATGCTCTGGAAATTTTGGGCCATTTTTCAGCAGATTAAAAAGCAGTTAATAACGGACGGACGGCGACTCACAACTGAAAGAGTAGTATACAAAAAACCAAAAGGATGATAAACAATCGAGTGCACGACGAGCAATCAACAAAACAGTTTTATCTCAAACGGATTGTTATAAAAATATAAAATATCAAAAAATTAAAATCAACCGACTTGATTGCTTATCGATCATAACTCACAGTATAAACAAAACTATTGACACGACAGTACAACCAGAATAGTCATCACCATTGAACTCTATAATCTATGATATGATATGATAACCATAGATAACCGTAATCTAATTGTAATTTAAAGGTTCATAGAATTGAGAACAGCACGATCTACCAAGATATATCTATCTTATAAATATCTCAGTGAACGAATATAATAAGACGTTTTAGAAAAGTTCTAGTGAGAGAAAAAACGCCATGACGTCACTCGCAGTATAACAAAAATTTAAATTATGTTTATTGTCATTCGCCGGGCGCCTGCTGTGTTTAATGAATTGTTAAACTTTTTATGCGTTTTCGTTTTTTGCAACTTATGTTTTCTACCAAAAATATTGTTCCAATCGAAAATTAACAAGAGGTCCATTTTGTTCTGTTTAATAAATAGCCACTGTTGAAGTAAGTCGTTTTTTAATATTTAAAGTGGTTTTCATAATAATTGGGAAAACCTCTCCCAAAAAAAAACGAAAAATACGATTTTATTAAATTGAAGTATGAATTCATTATTTAAAATTTGTAAGATTACATTTTTCTACCAGAAATTTTTATCCAAATTTCAAGAATATCAAATTTTCTGAAAAATTTATGTCTAGTTTGTGAGTAAGAAAGTTGTTATTTGATTTTCTGTATATTTTCCTAATAATTACAAAAAACGTAAAAAACACGACAAAGTGTACGGAATTTGAGCATTTTCTTTTAATTCGGTTAAAAATTATTATAGAGATCTATAGTTTTCACAAAATTCTTATATTGATATTTTGTAGACGTGGTAAAATTTCCAAAACATTGTAACAATTTTTAAGCTATTTATAGGTACCTAGGTATTTGATATTTTCGTTGAAATTTAATACAATAGATACATTATAAGTTGTACTTAGTGGTCTAAAAAACAAATTTGAATTTTATTTTTTCATTAGCATTTAAGATTAAATTTTGACGAAAATGTTTAAAATTATGGTATTTCAAAGTACCTATGTCTTATCTTTGCATACAGGTAAAAATTAAATAACTTTATGTAAATCCTACTTTCCCAACTTTTCACCTACAACAGTGACTGCACTCTGCACCGGAGACTGAAACCAAACGAAACATAATCAATTGGTTATGAAATATTCATTGAAAAAATATAAATTAAACAATAAATAATGTTGAAAATGTCGCACAGATAGTATTATATTTCTTTGATCAATTTACTTATAAATAAAAGGTGTCCCCTTTAAAAATCGAAAAAATTGTATTTTAAAAAGTTGAAGTTTTGGTTGTTTTTAAACATTTGTAGAAAATGGTTTAGGTTTGGGTTCATTATTAACACAAGATTCCCGGTTTTATAAGTATTATTTATTGTTAAATTTATATTTTTCCAAGAATATTTCATACTATGTATATGGAAAATATAGTGTACATTATTATGTAAAACATAAAGCTAAGAGGTATATTTTCAATATACATTTTTTTTTTAAATTTGTGACCACAACGACATGTGTGAACCCGCCATTATCTTCAGAAAAATAATAACTAAAAGAAAAAAATAGATAAAATGTTATCATCGGGTAGTACGTACAATATTCATGTTTCAACGACCAGATCAATCAATTCATTATTGATGTACTTAGATTATATACTATAGATAGAGCTACTGCACGATTAACGCGGACTACGAGTTGATGACATCATTATTGACGAGTGCTAATGTTTATTGCGCATGCGTATAAGTTGCATATTTATCGTATAATCGTTATAATACCATTCAGTTGATTGGTACATCACACGTGATTACGCGAATTCAACCAATTGCGCGTGATATAAATTTTGCGCATGCGCAGTTGTCTCAACTGTCCTTGGTTATGTTTGCTTCGAATATTTAGTCAATAGCTCTATCCATAGTCTATGGTCTAGGGCGCAGACAGCAATCGTATGGATAATCACATATAGACGGCGGAAAGGAAAAAGGGCGTTAGCGACATTTTGATGAAAATCGGTTTTTTGCACCAAGGCGTAAACGACATAATTTTACATAGATTGTGCTCATCCGATTATCGATATTTTGATTGTTGACGGAGTTATAATAAAATAATCTGTTTGAATGGCGTAAATGTCAGATAACGGGCGTAAGCGACACAAAATTAAAAATAGGGCGTAACCACCATAGACGTTTAAAATAAAGCGCCAAATAGCGTTAACGCCATACTTCCTTAATCCCAAATATAAGTTTGGCGTAAGCACCAAAAAAGTATACAAATTAACATTTCAGGTGAAAAAAATAACGAACACTATTTTATGATGCCAATTTAATTACAATATATTTTGTTAGATATATTTTTTTTTTCTTTTCCACCGTCGGTATAATTATTATTACCAACAGTAGATGCACATGTTGATATCTACAACATGTCTAATCTCTTAGAAGTCTCTTAAAAAGTCCTTGATAACCATTTCCACACAAAAAAAAAAATAACTTAAAATTTTCTATTAATAACAATAAAATAAATAAGCTATACATGAAACAAATTCAATAATGCCCAGGTGAGGGCGATCGCCCCTATCGCCCCCCTTATATATAAGCCCATGTAATTACTTAAAATGTAGAACAACAATTTTTAATTTTAAGTTTGCAGACAAACAGTAAATACATTTCAGTACCTACATATGTAGTTAATTGTTTGCACACCTTTCTTAAGTTATTGCTTGCATTGAAGGTGATGAGCTCTTGATAATAGTTCTTAATAGTTAAATTAAATAATTACAATAAATACTTATTGCTATCTACTTAAATAAATACAAGATACGTTTTAAGAAGTTATATTGAAAAAAGAATAGCTATTAGTAAAAAGATAAACAAATACAATATATTCTAGATCTAGATATTTACCTTATTATATAACATTTAAAATAGTTAAAATTAGCAAATTGATTTGTATTTATTTTTAACTTTCTACAAAGAGAAATTGCGCGGTTTAAGCAACTTTTAGTTTCAAATTGCTTATTATATTTAGGAACAGACGCATTTATCCTTTTCTTTAAACTATAGTATTATGATTATCAAGGCTGGTGTAACAGGCAAATTATAACCCCCAGAATAACCATACCCCCAGGTACGATTATGCTTGGTTTATCATACCCTGCTGGTAGCATAATGCTAGGATATATATATATACCCCCTGAATTCGTTTGCCGAGGATATAATTATCCTGGAATTTTCATACCCCTCGGTATCATAATTCTAGTATTTATATACCCCCCCCCCCAAAAATTTACCATATTTTCCAGGGAGGTATGAAATTCCTAGAGCATTTAAGCATCATAACTCGATAGTTTTTTAACGTACCCATGCGGGATCTCCACCAATATGTATCTAGGTAAGTTAGATGCACTTCATATCAAAAATACCCCCCAATTTCTGATTTTTGGATTAAGTATTTCTTGGCGGGATTCAGTGATAAGAGAATAGTTTTAACGCCAAAACATTTGACTTGGCACCCTACACAAGTCTCCTCCATAACTTAATAACATAAAATCCCTTCGAAGGGACTCGTCCTGGAATTCATTCGATCACAATCAAATTTCGGAAATGGTCACTTATCTAGGTCACCTCAAGACCAATCTCACCAAATGTAATATAAATCGGATAAAGAGAGATGACTTTTCAACAGGGTCAGCTAGGCATTTATATATCATGTATGTCTCGACGGGATATGGTGGTATAAAAAATTAGTTAAAACACGAAAAAATCAGGCTTGGATCCCGTACAAGTCCTTTCTATAAGAGAGTATTGGAGTCATCCCTTTTTTTTATCCCTTCCGATTGACACTAAATTTGATGGGAGTGGTCCCGAGGTAGCCTAAAGACCGTTTTCAAAGTTTGGTTGTGATCGGATAAATTCCAGGATAAGTCCCTTGGAAGGGATTTTATGGTATCAAATTATGGAGGGGACTTGTGTAAAGTGCCAAGTAAAATTATTTAACGCTAAAACCATTCTCTTATCACTAAATCCCGCTGAAATATATTTAATCCAAAAATCAGAAGTGGAAAGGGTATTTTTAATATGAAGTGCACCTAACATATCTATATAAAATATTGGTGAAGATCCCGCACGGGCACGTTGAAAAATTTCCGAGTTATGATGCTTATATGGTTATATGTTTATATGCTCTAAAAATTGCATACCTCCCTGGAACGGTACCGGGTTGGTGGGTATATAAATATTAGAATTATGGTACCGAGGGGTATGACAATGCTAGGACAATTATACCCCCGGCAGACGAATTCAGGGGTATGTATTTAGTAGCACAGTCTTACCGGTGGGAGGGGGGGTATGATGTTCCTCGGTACGAAATGCCTGTGACACCGGTTTAAAATCGATGCGAGCTGTGCCCCCCGCTCATTGAAAGGCCCCGCGGCAAAAATTAAATGTAGGAATTTTTTTTTCTGAAACAGGCTTCAATTGTTGAATGTAGAGAGCCTTTATAAGAATTATTAATAATTATTAAGGTTCTCTATGGTTCAATGGCATAGATTGGCGTGTTAATATCATGATGTTATGTATAGGAAATTTATTTACAGAACCGGTATGGCCGGTAAAGAACTTCCGTGGGAAATAACGTTTTCGTTATCTCAAGATAATAATATTAGATTATAAAATATTATTGTATTTCATTTTATTGTGAAATTTTTGCGTTATGTTCGCCGGTTTATTTTGCTGACGTCCGCCATCGGAGACGAATACGAAACTGACGACGAACGGTAAATATATAATTTTATTACATTTAAATAAAAATTGTATAAGTAAATATCTCCTAATTTTAGAATTTTAGAAACTAAAGTAAATTACAGTTGTTAATTGTAATTTTTTTTTGATATTACACATTTACATTTTTGATTATTATTTATTAATTTACCGGTAATTACTAAGATTTGTATAAAACTAATATTTTATTTTGTACCTATAAGGCTATAACGTAAAATCGGTATCCTAACGCAACGGGTGTTACTACGAGTATTTTATTACGATTAAACACGTGTTTGTATTATTTAGCCTATTCATTATTTCCCCGTTATTTAGGTGGGTACATTTTAACATTTATAATTATTCGTCTAAATAAAATTATTTAAATTTTTCATACAATAAAATAATAAGCATAAGCTGAACCTGACTTCTGAAGAGAAACCTTTTTGAGAAGCGTATTCAGTCGGACTTCAATATGATACTTAAAATGATTTTACTAGAATTATAGGTCTAAAAATATTTAGACCTATTATATTACTTTTTAAGGAATTTTACATTATAATTATTAAGTCCCGTAAAATTGTTCAATAAAATACATAATATTATATTATAATTTATAGTATTTGGCTAGATATTTGTATTATATCTACTCAACCCTGATAAATAAGCAGCTGTTATATTATTATGTAATCATTCAATAATTGAGATTCATTCGATATATTGCTTAAAATCAGACTGTTCCTGAGACCCAAAATAATAACTAAACATTCACTAAATAAGCCCCGTAAAAATATTTCACACATAGCAATGCTGTTCACCAAGCCCTGATGATTATGTGTTCATGTTGGTTAATACATTCTGTGTTTAAAAATAGTCAGGTACAATAAGTATATTTGGTAAGAAGTTTATCGAAAGCCAAGCCAAACATAAAGTCGGATCAAGTACCAATCGTGCTTACAACTATTATAAATAAATTCCTACTCCCTATCACTACCATTCCATAATTCCACCTTTATATTCTATTCTATTTTAATCATCTTATCTCTCAGTTAGGCTTTTATCTCATAATAACCTCGTTATAATATTATGTAATCAAAAACCTTTTAACTTATTTAATACGAAAATATCATGTTATTTAATTTTGTATGCTATATGTAACTGTTAAGCTGAATGGTTTTTATCCACAGTTCTTAATAAAAAAAAAAAATTGTATAGTTGATTTTACAAATATTAACCTAATTTAAGTTTATTGTAATGTTTGATGTCAATTATAATTAATACATTAAAAAATCATACATTAAGAATTTTTAATTAGATTTGAGAATTCTGGTAAATTATAAATTATAGTGGACAGCCAACAAAAAATATTATCAACCATACTATTATTAAAACATCATGAATTAATTGTCCAAGATATTCAAGGGGTGTAATATAATTTTTGTTAGAAAATAAGGTGTTAAAACTAAATGAATATATTTAACTTGTACAAATATTTTAAATAATATGTTTAATATATTTCTGTAGGTATTCACAATGTAGTTATAACCAGATTAAGAGTAATGATAGAATAGTAGAAATGTGCATTAAAAGTTAACCAGATTATCTTCAAAAGAAATAATAAGATTTTTCTTTGTTTGTATATGATTTAAACATAAAACCAGAAGTAATTTCTTATTAAAATCAACATTATCTTTTATGATATATACATATATTTGTATACCAAAAAATAAACATACAATTATTTTGATCGACCTTTTTTTTTATTCTAGGTTTTTTCTGTATTGTGGAATTTAAAGAAGATATTATATTAGAACAAACACGTAAGAATTTAGTGATTAGGGAATAAATCTTTGAATAGTTATGTTTATTCTATATATTGATGTTAAAATATAAAAACAAAAAATACAAATAGTCATGAATTTAAGGTATAACTTATAACATAGTTAATAATAATAAAAACATTGAATAATATAAATTAAATATTATCAAATTTTATTAGGAAAACAAAATTTGCACAAAAAAATGTTATAGAATTAATTTTAATGGACAATTTGCTAATCTTCCAAAAAATGACAATTATATATTTTTGTATTTTGGATATCATTCGAAAAATGCTGATATGTTCGGAGAATTTCCTCAGTGGTTTTTGAATTTGAAATATTTAGAATCAAAAATATGTGTAACAGGTTTTGCTAATGTCTTGGCAAATTTAAGAAAATACAAAAAATATATTGCTGCTCAGGTAAATATTTATGTATTATGTATACAGAGTGATTTTTTTTATCATTAACAAGCAATTATTTAGAGGATGTTAAATGAATTTGATTTCTGTTTTTTCTAATCTTTATGAAATCGTTTAAGCATTAATTTAAATCCTTTTTTAATTTTTTACTCTTACTCCATTTTACATAAGTGCATACTTTTGATTTTCAAATAGGAACACTCTTCTTTTGAACACAGATTTGAATTAAGAATATTTTTCTAGAAAGTAGAATTTAGTCATAGATATGCAATTTTTTACCTTTCCCTATGCCTTTAAACTGTTATAACTCATGAACGGTAAATCTGATATTAGTGTTATGTATATCAAAATTTCTAGAAATATATTATTTATTTAAATCTGTGTTCAAGTTGAGGGTTGCTTTTTGAAAACCAAAGTAAAGTATTTGGAGTAGGGGTAAATAATTAAAAATGGTTTTAAAATAAAGCTTAAATGATTCCATAATGATTTGAAAAAACAGAAATCAAATTCACTTAAAACCCTCTGAGATTATTGTTGGTTTATGATAATAAAATAACCCTGTATAGCTTTAACTAGTACCTAATTGGTAAAATACATTTTCTTATCATTTATAGAATTACATTTTCTAATTTTATTACTATAATATTTAAGAATTTTCAGACTATATAAAAATTACATAAATGAAATAGAAAATTTTGTTACGTATTTGGACCAAATTTGTATCTAACTAAATGTGATATTGCCTAGTTAGGCCTTCAAGATCCTGAAACTTATTTTGTGTATAATGAATCATAAAATTGCAAAAATTTGTGGGAAATCATATTTTTATTATAAGTATAAATGTTATAATTGTATTTTTATATATTAGCTTACAATTGTATTACTATATTGCTGAATAATAATTATTTGTTTAGTATTAATGCATTTCAAAATTGCTACCCAGAACCTCATTTATCTATTGTCAGAGAAAACATAGCAACTGCAATTTTTGGAAAAAACTATGATGAGCTTATATATGATATTACAAATGGAATCGTCAAAGTATGTGAGTATATTATATATTTATAGTAATTATTTACTAAGAAGTTGTATGCTCATCAAATGTGATGGGCTATAGTGAATTGTATACTTGGTTGTCATGGTACCTAAATCAATTAAGCGTTATAAACATACCATGACTTGTACATAAGAAAGCAAATTTGAGTTTGGATGGATAAATTTTGTGTTGTTTTAATATTAAGGAGAATTGACCTATTACCAAATTAGCTTTGATGTTATAGATTTCGAGCATAGCGAGGGAGCAATTGGTATAACTAAGATGATTTTTTTTTCCTAGTCTGTGGACACGTTTTTTCCTTGTAAACTTGGTCTGATTTTTACGTTTAGCAACTTTCTGAAAGCTTGAGTTATTTAAATTGTACTTTAGAGAGGTCATTTTTTTGATTTTTGATACCATTTTTAAATAAAACCATTTAAGTAGGGAAAAACTTAGGAAAACTTAAAATTTCTCAATTCTATTATTTTATAAAATCACAGATGATATTTTCTATTACAAGATACCTTTTTTGTTGTCTTTTTGATTTACTTTCTTAGGTATAAATCACCAAAACTTTTGAGCCACTTTTAAGCTTTTAAGAAATTGAAATTTTTAGGAGTTTTTTGCTGTAATTTAGTTATAAATACATGTAGAGACTTTAAATTGGGTAATAATACTTATATTGGATTTACCTAAACGTGGTAAAATTTCCAAAATCATCAAACAACTTCTTTTTTTTTTAATAAGCATTTTGAAATCAAATTAACCTTGCCAACTTCTCATCTACAACATTGGACGCTCTCATCCCCAGTATCAGCTCTATTTATTTATTTTTTTTTTGATATTTTAATTTTTAAGAGCGATTTAATGATTTTTAAATAGTGATATTTCACATATTCATCTCGCTTAATAATTAAAATGTTAATTAAACATCAACAATAGGGCACATTGTCTTATCTTAAATTTTAGTAATATGTCAATTTTCTTTAATATTAAAACCTAAAGCATACGAAGTTATACTGAATGCAAATTTACTATATCATACGTTTGTAAAACGGAGACAGCGAATGTGTTTGTGGTGACTTCTTTGTAAAATGTATTGTGTAACATGATTAAATTTAAATAGGTATGAAATTTAATGTCTCATAAATGTTTGCACACTTGTAATGGCTATTCAAAAAAAGTAACACATTTAGTTACTAATAAATTAAAAATCAATTTTTATCGACATCTGATGATTCAAAAATATGTATTTGGAATATGTACAATTCTTTTGAATTTTGTATATATTTTTATTTTATTATTTTAACTGTGATTTATTTATTCATAAATGTATTGATTTTTAGATTCTGAATCATTTATACCACCATCCTCAGATTAGGCAAGAACATTGGCAAAATATATTTCTTCAAAATGAACAGACATTGCTGAATGTAATTTTGTATAAAAATATAACACCGAACCAGTCATTTTTTCACAGTTTTCTCCAGATAATAACTGTTTTATGCTCTATGGATACAACTTTAAAGGTGATATTATTTTTCATTATTCTTCTCTAATTTGTTGTCCCTGTGCATATCTAAGATGAACAATCTGCCAAAATCTTGTTTAGAATTGCTTAAACTGTTTGCCAGAATTTTACACAGGCTATCACCTGATGCAACCCTATTTGTTGCTCACTAATGGCCTTTAGAGATTCGGTTTTGTGGTTTTGTTATTTAAGAAATATTTATTTTGAAAATGATGTAAAATGATATAATAAAAAGTTATTTTTTTTGGTGTACAGGGGATGAAAATAAATTAAAATTTAATTTTTTTTCCAAATCAATGAACCCCTCAAAGACAAACCGATTGAAAAAAACATATTTAATATTAACAGCACTAGGAAAATTTGTTGAACATGGTAGAACACACAATATATTATGGTATATTAATTGAATTAACAACATATAATATAAATTTTTATATATATGCTGTCCTATGAAGATATATGTCTTGAATATATCTGGAGATAATAAAGTTATTCAAAATTAATTTTTCTTTTTAGTAAAATAACTTTATTTTATTATTTTTGGATAATTTTAAGATTTTTCTGCCATTCTGTAAAGTTTATTTTTCTGAAAATTTTAAAGTATCACAAATGTTATCTAATAAATAGTTTTTCTAAGTAACAGCCATTTTAAATTCTACTAATCTGTGTGAAGTAGTTTTTGTTCTTATCAGTTTGTAAAAAAAGTAATAAATATTATTTTAAAATCAGTGGTTGTTGCTGCAGCCAATTTGTTTTATTAAAACAAAAAATTACAACTTTTTTTTATTTAATTTTATTATTTTATACATTTGATTTTTTTAGGGATATATGCAGTGGATAAATATCTAACAAGAAAATCAATCAGATAATACATGTATTCAAAGTGAATTATTTAATGGATATAGATTAAATGAACAAGTACCTACACAACCTTTAATTACATTACAATAATATTGTTTGTTCAATGTAAATTTATATATATTGTTTTTATAGAAACAAAAAGAATAACAAATGGTTTGTTAGTATTGGATAATGTATCTAGTAGTAAAATAGTAAAATACTTGGATATTGGGACGTAAAATATTAATAACAACACATGATATAAGTATAATTGACAACATAATAGATACAAGAGTGAAATATGTAAAAGTTTAAAAATGAATCATTCAGTGTTATGTTTAAATACATTTATAACATCGTAATATCTTTAAAATTTATACTTATAATAAAAATATAATTTCCCACAAGTTTTTGCAATTTTATATTTTTTATTATACACAAAAGAAGTTTCAGGTTCTTGAAGACCTAACTGGGCAATATCACATTTAGTTTGATACAAATTTGGTCCAAATACATTTAACAAAATTTTCTATTTCATTTATATAATCTTTATAGACAGTCTAAAAATGCCTAAATATTACAGTAATATAATTAGAAAATTTAATTTTATAAAAGATAATAAAATGTATTTTAGTAATTAGTTACTAGTTAAAGCTATATATTATTATTAAATATATACATTAATATAAATATTTACCCAAACAGTAATATATTTTTGTATTTTCTTAAATCTGCCTTAACATCAGCAGGACCTGTTAATCTCATTCAGGTTATTTTCTTTGCCATGTTTAAAACTATCTTTTTTAGGTAATTTTCTTGGACTAACAGATGTTTCATTTTCTCTAAAACCAACAGTGTTGATTTTTACGATAACAGTTAATTTTTAAAATTTTACAAATTAATTAACAACCTCCGTTTTATTATTACTAAAATCATTTTTTTATGTAATCATTCTTTAAGCATTTTATTAAATTGTAACTTTTTCTCTGTATTACTGTAACAATTTTCTCAAAGTTAAACTGGGATTGTTCAATGATCAAAATCTTTTTTTAATATCATATTAAAAATGCCACATATTGCTGCATTAGAAATACTTAAGTTGCCTAATTCCCTTGTAGGATATTTTTGTCGAATAAAATGAGACAAATTAAAAAAATAATTAACTAGTTGGTGATTATTAAAAACCAAACCATTTGTTATATTATCTGTTTACTATTAGCATAATATTATGTAAGTAGGTGTAATTGAAAATCCTTATCATTTTACTTTTATGTTTTAAATTGTTTTTTAAACTAATAATGTCTATCTACCTAATTAACAGCAGTGATTGTTTTTTTATCTTTATTTAATTTATTTTCACATAATTTTATTTTTTGTGAATGTATGTTGTTAAGAATTAAAATAAATTGTTTTATTTTATATTATTAGTATTAATTTACATTTTATGTACATCTATATTGTAGGTATTAACCCTAGAACACACGCTTCACAGTCTTAATGACTGGGCTTTTAGAAATTTGTTCATTGTTTAAAAAATTTGAAATATTTACGTAATCTAACCTACGTATGTTCTAATGACTAATTAGGTTATAAACTAAAATTTAACCCCCAACTGTATGCGATCTGATGTCAGAAATATAGAAATGTTCAAATTTGATTAACTATTAAAACACATTATAAAAGACCAATTGTGGGCTATACTGCTGAAAGTTGTTTATTTTATAATTAAAAAACAAAAAACAAAATATGTGTAATGAGTGCCAATCATAATCAAATAAAATCACATGGTCACCACAAAGAATACAGAATAAAGTGTAACCAAACATTGTCATTATAGTCAAGATGTCGCCAAATAAATTTCGCTATGCTATTGAAAATATTAATATAATAATATTTATTTAATAATAATTCGATTATGTATATGGATGTGGGATAGGCACGTATACCAAAAAAAATTCGAGGGAGTGAGGGGGGTTCATACAAATTTACAATAATAAATATTACTAATATTATCAATATTTAAAAAAAAAAAATGGATATAAACTACACAATTTAATTTTTGGGCGGGGTAGTTTATTTAACAACTACTGTATTAGGTTAGTTCATTGCCGTTTTTGCGAGATGACTAACCGCAATTTGATTCCAGATTCTGAATCTGTATTTCTTCACGGACATTTTCTTCTATGTTTTTATGAAATGCAAAATAAATCTAAGTATTTTTAAAACAATTTTCAAAGTAGGACGCTTTTATCTATCCTAAGCTTTTACTGTTTTTCAGTCGGCCGAAATTCTTATCATACATATAAGCTTATTTAATGCCTATATAACGCCTTAATGACCATATTTTCAATTTTGGGAACCACTGGGCTCTCTTATCATTTATTGCTAGTGGAATATACGTGATTATTGATATCCTGATAACGATTAACCGGACTAACGAGCTCTAAATAAACAAGGTCGTATGCAAGGAACTTTGGTCGCACGGTTAGCAACTTTACGACTACTTGGTATTTGGTAGCAAGTACTTGGGCAGACGTATTGGTTGATTGTATTATGATACTATGTGTGCAGTGTGCCGGCCTAGCTAAGTTTTTGTAATTTTATTTGATTTCTGATCTTCAATCGCACAACATTAAATCTGTAATTATTTTTTATAAATAATATTTTTATTTTTACTTTATTTTATTTTATTGTTCAATAATATTATCGTACACAATATGGAAGGAAAAAACAAATTAGTAAATCCCTTCTACCGGCCATGGATGACTACATATGGAGCTGCTGCACCGGCTGGAGGATCAAACAAGGGAATGAAGGGGATAGTAGCTGGTAAGCAGTAACACACATTAACATAATAAGAAACATATATGTGAAATAATTACTATAAATCATAAATATCAATATTTTTAAATTGTTTGTAATTTATCTTGATTTAAATCTTGTAAGTTACTAATTAGTGTTAACAATAGACAGTATAATGTACATGTTTTAATATTATTTTTTGCCGTATCATCTATAATAAATTTTAAGTTCTAGTACAATAAAGTTTAACCTCTTACTTATAGTTTAAGCAAATTAACCAAATTACTATCTATTTATATATTAGTATATTAATTTTAATTAGGTAATTATAATCTTAATTATAAAAATATTATAATTAAAATTAAAGAAAAAAATAAACCAAATAACAAAAACAATTTAAATATACTAAATTATATAAAAAGCAGTTTAAAAATAGTTTAGTTATTTTTGAAAATGTAAGTATTTTCTAAATAATACACCTACCATATTATGCATATTATGTTATGTACGTATTCAGATATCCTATGTTCCTAATGATGATATAATTTAAGACTAATTAAAACATAGTAGGTATGTATTGCATTTTTAGTATAAATATTGTAATAAATATAAATTGTTATTAATTCAAAATTGTTATTAATTCAAAATTGTTATGACTAACATTTATTTATTTTTAAATCTTCTAAATTGAATTTAATTAAAAAAAACCTTGATTATACATTTATTTTAAAGGCAGATGTGTTTTAGATAAGATTGTGTTAAAATTGGAATATAATTTTGTGTATTTTTATGTATTTATTTTAATCTCAATAATTAATTTTCTTAATTTATAAATTATCAGGCTTAAAATTAATGTTCATTGTAATTTATATTTTATAGTAAAGTAAAGTATTTAGGTTTTTAATAAATTGATGTTACTTAGACGGTTAGACTCATGTTTGATAGTGAAAGTTTATATTTGTAACAATGTTACATAATATTAAAAATATTTGTATAGGATAAAAGCAAAGAAGAAATAAAAGGTGATGATATTCAGGTTTTACATTTTGATTGTGATGTACTCGATGATGAATTTTTAATTCGAAAACCTGTCGTATACACTTATCTCAATACTCCAGACCACATTTATTCTTGTATTTATTTTTATACATTTTTCAATGTATTTACGAGTATTAACTATTTGAATAATTTTGTTTTTACTTTATTATTTTATTAGAAATAAAATATTAATATCTTAATAAATTATTAATTATATTAACATGTGTATATATTCAATTTGTGGTCAATTAAAATTATTTATCATATAGGTATGTATCATCTATATGTATGATTAAATAAAGTCATTGAAAAATATCTGCATTAGTTAAATTACTTACCTATGATTTGTTGTTAACATATTTTTAAAATTTGGTGTATGACCTTAGGGTACTTAATTTGTATTGAATTAGTAACCCAAACTAATCAATCACCTATATTATTGTTATTTTTAAAGTATTATATCATATTTATTATTTCTCCGTTTATTATAATATGTTAAATATTTAAAATTTGTAATTATTAAATGTATGTATATTCAATGACAAATTCAGGATTTCTTAATAGGGAAGGGGAAAACAAACAAATCCATAATTACATAATTTTACATGTTCATCTGTTAAAATTAATTTCTTTAATTATATTTAAAAATATACTATTAATTTAATAATTTAATCAACAAAATGTGAAAATAAAAGATATACATATAACATAAGGTAATGAAAACATAAAATGATTATAATATAAATATAAAAATATATGGTCAATTGGGCCCTTTCATGACTACACAGCTGAATATAGATTCACTTATGTAAGATATTTTTAAATTGTATACATAATATGTAAATGTACTCTTAATACCTATTAATCTAAAAAATAACATTTTCCTATTGTCATAGTTTTACATATCTATTGTAATATTGTATAAGTATAAGTATATTTTACTAATATTTATGATTAGTGAACAAGAATTGAAAAACAAATTGTATGCTTTGAAAAATGAAAAATGCATACAATTGTAATGAAAACATGTCAATCAAAATGATAAAATACTTATCTACCTTTATGTACCTATAATCAAGGTTATAATATTCGTAATTTATAAATAAATTTTGAACTGTAAAGAAATTGTTATAACACACTGTATAAATAATTATACGTTATAAAATAGTATACTCAGTTTTATTTACAGATGACTATAAAACTATTTTTTTACTCATAACATATATTTATTTTATTCAATAATCATTAATTAAATGTCAGCATGTCCTTTTCTTTTAATAAATTCACAAGGTATCTAGAACATAAAGAAACTAAAAAACTAAAATTATGCTAATAGTTGAATTTAATAATAAAACAAGATTTAATTCTATGAATATGCATTAAGTAAACTACAATTTTATTCATGAAATTCTAATATTTAAACTAGAGATTAAGATTGCTAAAATGCTTTATTTTAGCATGCAGAATAGTTTAAATATTAGGTGAATGGATGAAAATATATTTCCCATTTGTAGATATTCAAATTGTGTTTATCATAACAGTGAATCAAACACTTAAATGCACCAAATTCTGTATAGTATTTATAAGATATGATCTTAAGCATTATGAGCCTAATATTATTATAGCAGAACTTTGGTACATTTTTAGTGGAGAAAAACACAATTATCTATAATATATATTATTATTTTGATACCTACTTTGATATGTTTTGCCTTAATTTTTTTTTTCAGTACAGACCTAAATATTTTTACTTATTATTAATTACCATAGGTTAGATAATCTAATAAAATAAGATTTTTTTTTTTTACTGATAACTGTAGAGTTGGTGCTTTGAACATTTAAAATAATTATTTTAGATAATCCTATTTTCATAACGAGTATAACTAGTCTTTACAAAGGTCATTGGTGTCGTATACTTTTTAACCTTGAATAATATTTCACATACTTCATTAATTCACATTTAGTATTGACTTTTTAATTACCTGTTTTATGTAATAATAATTGTACACTTATGAAGTAAAAAAAAAGGATGATATAGAAATAAATGTACAGAACTGTATATTATAAAGTTGGAACAGATTTAAAACTAATAGAGATTTGAACCTCGTTTATTATAAAATCTGATAAAAAATGTGGGTAATATTACAATTTTGCAAGGTTTACTAAATATAATCCATATTACAAGCTTTTGTCTAGAAAACAAAATTATTGTGTACCTATTTTAATTATGAAAGTAAATGTTTTATCACTTATTATATTAGATTAGTTTCAATTTCTTCAAAATTATTTATAGATTAATATAATTACATAAGTGCTATAGGAGAGATTGTAAAATCATAATTGAGATTAATCAGAGATTAGATTCAGTGTCTGAATTTGGGAAAAATTGAAAATAGATGCTGGCTTTAGATTAGAAGTCATTGTTCTATACCAGATAAATATTACAGTAACTCTTAGTGAACTTATTTCTGATGTCCCCTACACTCTATAACTATAAAATTAAATGAATAATTAATTTCCAAATAACAAAATAAGAAACTAATATTATATTGACTTCAAAAAAGGAAGAGGTTCTGAATTTTTTGTATGTTTATTTTTAATCATGTTTATTCACACATAATTATTAAATATATATCAATTATCTATATGAATTTATTTTAAAATTGAAATCCAAGATAAACATACCTATTTAAAAAAAAATAAGAACGGATTTTATTTATTTTAGTAGATTTAATTATTTAAGAAATATAGCTATTTATATATTAATCAAAATCAAACTATTTTAGTTTAAATACCTTTTATTTACTTAAAAATACTTTATTTGTTTTATAGGTGGTATCACCGGAGGTATAGAAATTTGCATTACTTATCCTACAGAGTATGTAAAAACCCAAATGCAACTTGATGAAAAAGTTGGTGCTAAAAAATATAATGGTATAATGGACTGTATCAAAAAGACAGTCAAAGGTCATGGTATATTTGGTCTTTATCGCGGACTTAGTGTATTACTTTATGGATCCATTCCAAAATCAGCGGTTAGGTAAATTAAAAAAAAAAAACTTAATAAGTTATTTATACAGGTTAGTCTATTAATTTTTTTATAATAACAATATAATTAGGTTTGGAGCATTTGAAGCACTTAGCACTCAAATAACAGGAGGTAATGGGGAATTAACAGCTACTCAACGAGTGTTGTGTGGTCTTGGTGCAGGCGTTTCTGAAGCTATACTTGCAGTCACTCCAATGGAAACTGTGAAAGTGAAATTCATTAATGATCAGCGACTAGAAAAACCCAGGTTCAAAGGATTTTTCCACGGAACTAGTATTATTATCAAAGAGCAAGGTTATTTATAATTCAAAATATTATTTTATTGATACATCTATATTCTATAGTTTTTTAGATAATATATTTTTTTTAAAAAGATTAAATTCGTTTAGGTAATTTTAAAGATAATTCACAGGTACTTGAATTTAACACAGTTTAACCTATTATTAATATCTAATTCATTTTTTTTCTCACCTATTTATATGTTATTCAAAATTGTTAATAGCATCATGTTAGTTAAGTATTGTGTGTGTATATTTTGTTCTGATAATAAAATTAATGCCAAATAAAAATAAATATTAACTGGCTGCTTAATGTGATTGATTTGAACAAAAAATATTATTGGAATGCAGAAGAAAATGCATATCTTATTTATCTCATTTGTCTTTTAAATTTGTTAATTAATAAAATTAATTTCTTTTTTTCTTCTTATGAAACTTATAAATAAACAAGTGCAGAATGTTAAACATTTAGCACTATTTTTATTTTATTTTTTGTTTATAAATCACAAAATAAAATCAGTTTGTCTTTATCTTCACATGAAATGGGCAAGTAAATTATTAATGATAGGTTGCAAATTTAAGTAAAGTGTTTTATTTTAAACTTGTAAGTACTTTGAAATCTAATTTTTATAATCTGGCCTTAACTCGTAAAGATGTTATAGTTGGTAATTGTTTTTGATAAAACTATCCACAAGTTAATGGAATTAATATATTATTCATTTGTATAGGCATAAGTGGTGTTTATCAAGGACTGATGCCAACTATATTAAAACAAGGTACAAATCAAGCAATTCGATTTTATGTAATGGGAGCATTAAAAAATCTCTACAAGGGTGATGATCCCAACAAACCTGTACCTAAATTATTAGTTGGAGTTTTTGGTATGGCGGCTGGTGCTGCTAGTGTTTATGGAAATACACCACTAGATGTTGTTAAGACACGTATGCAAGGATTGGAAGCTAAAAAATATAAGAGCACAGTTGACTGCATGGTTCAAATATGGAAAAATGAAGGACCCACAGCGTAAGAAATAATTTTTATTTTATAAATATAGTAATCAACTATGAAAATTTAATTATAATTAAAAATAAATAAATATGTTAAATTTATAAACAAGAAATTGTATACAGTTTTTAATAATGTTATAGATATAGGTAAGATATGAAATAATACAAATTAACTAACAAGAAAATTATAATAAAAATAAAAATGTATTGTATATGTTTCACTTATCATTTTGCGATTTTGTGATTTATGAAATAATTTCCATTATGATTATAATTCTTACTATCTTTTGTTTAAAAATAAAAAAAATTCTTTGTCGTATATTTTATTTTCAAAAATGTTTAATCCTTTTTTTTTTTTAACAATAATTTTTGTTTTAGGTTTTACAAAGGTACAGTACCTCGGCTAAGCAGAGTGTGTTTGGATGTGGGAATAACTTTCATGATTTACGATTCCTTTATGGACCTATTCAATAAAGTATGGCCTTGAATAGATAATATAAATCAATGAATAAACTTTATTAAATAACCTTGATATAAGTAAAAAGTATACTGTGTAACTATTTTTTTGTGAACGAATACACAGTAATTGCACATATCTTTTATTTAATTATCGATAACTTAATCAATCTTCCGTAAACTATACTTTTTAAATGTTTTTATTTTTATTATTATTATTATTATTATTATTTAAATGTTACAAATGGGAAATAAAACAATTATAAACATGTTTATTTTTATATATTATACTCGTTAAAAGAAAATTTTTATTGGAAATTTTACATTCCAAATTGAATGCACACATTTTTTAATATATTCTATTATTGTTTTCATATATTATATTTTTTATGTTACAACATAGTTGATTTTTTTTGGTTTATCATTCAAATTTCAATGTATATGTTTAAATGTATTAATATTTTAATTAATTATATATTTATGTATTTTTTTTTTTGTTTTGTTTATGTTTATTGTTCACATTAATTTAATTATACGTATTCGTTCATAATATGTCTATTTATACTTTAGATTTTATATTAGTAATATTTATATTTCAAGCCATACATCAAGATTAATAATTGCTTTTTTTTATTAAGTTTGAAGACAATAATTCGAAATGTTGTTACCTACATTATTGTAGCTATATAACTGTATTCAAATGATTATATTATATTTTTGTACAAATTCTGAGATTATTCTTGATTTTTTATAATCTAGTCTAAAAATATAATGGGTTTGCATTTTAAATGTAATGTTAACATAATACAAATTTTGTATTTAGCTTCTGTCATTATCATTATTCATTATATTTATGATACCTCTATATTAACATGTAGTATAGAAAAGATAAAATTGTATCGTATTAAACTATGAACAAATTCTATTGGTATCCTTGTAGTGTGGAATTAACTACATTTATACAAAATACAATAATTTTAAGCATTTTTTTGAAAACCATAAAAAATTATAAATTACAAATTTGATTTGGAAACCGATAGGCAGTTATTTGAAAGATATAATTATTTATTAATATAGTCAATACATTTCACCCTTAGAACAAGATTGTCATAATTAAAAATTAAGGTGTTTTTTGGTAAAAGCTATAGGTTGGTATCTAGCCATAATTTGTATAGAACTTAAATGAAGTACACAGAGATTGAATACAAAATTTTAAAACCAAAATCCCACTGAACTCATTACCTGTTATTATGGCCTAAAATGTCCGTTTACCACACAAACCATCTATGCAATGTTTTAACTCCTATTTATTCTCATTATTATATATTTTATAACGAACCCCGTGTTAAATTTTCAAACAGTGATGTCCACATAACACAGGGCCTGATTAATGAATTTGCCACTAGTAGGTCAGGTTTTTTTATGTTTTTGTAGATATAGAGATACATGTTTAAAAGAAATCAATAAAAAAAAAAAGTTGTTTTACAGCGTCCCCTATCATTTAACGACGTTCTAGGGTGCAGCCTTTTCAGCCTAAAGGTTAATCAGGTCCTAACGTAGTACCTATCAAATAAAACCTACGTACAAAATTCGCAAACATAAAATACCTGTAAAAAGTTTAAAAATTGTCAGATGTTTTTAAAATTTGATCACGTTTAAAATAGCCAAATATAAGTTTTTGTCAACATTTCAAGTCTGCGAATATTTTTGACTGAATTACAAAAAAAAAAAAAAAAAATTATTAATCTGTTTGGAAAAGACTTATTTGCTCAGTGGCGTGCTCAGGAATTTTCAATGAGAGGATATGTAACAAATAAAAATTTTGCGAAAAGAGTAAAATCTTCTTCTCTACCCAACTCGACTATGGGCCAAATTGGTAATCTAAAAGCCGGATACTAAAAAAAAAGCCAATTTCTAATTAATAATCACGCCATTTCTCGGAAATCGGCCGAAATTTATGAGTTTCGATATTAGATTATTCATATTTTGTTGTATTTTTAAGCCAATGAGGAGGATATAACCCCTAACCTCCCCCCTGGGCAAGAAACAGGGGCGTGCTCAGCTTTTTCTTATGGGGTGGGGGGATGAACTATATTTTGTTTTGTTGATAATCATATACACAAATTTACAAAATGTACTTATTGGTATATATATTGATATTTTAGGAGTACGTAGTTAGGTACAAATTACAATGTTAATATACATATAATATATATATTACCTATATACACCTATATACTCTTTTTACATTTTTTTCATTTATAGGAAACCTAAATGTTGTATGGATACCATTATCCATACATTTTTAAGTGCCAATAAACAGTAAATGATAAAATGCATGTACACTAGGTAGTAAGAATTGATTTTTTTTATTTGATAATCTACAGTTCACAAATAAACTAATATCGTTTAAATGCATATTTTAAGCCTTAAAAAAGCTGTTCTAGGATAATGGAGTCGGGTGCACGTACTGTTAAAGGTAATTTAATGTATACCTGTAAGCAACAATAAATAATTGGTTACGAAAAAACGATTCTGAACGGAGTTCAGTCGATAGTGATGCTTTGGCAACAATATATATGTCATATTATGGTAAAATAATTAAATAGGCATTATAAATTTGTTTCAATAATATTTGTTTAATGTACCGATTTTCAAGTATTTCCTCTGTTTTTTTCGGTTTTTCACATTTGATAAGCAAACTTTGTAGAAAATCGAAAAATTAGATCGTTAAAGTATCTTCCTTGTTAGATTTTCTTTCAGAAAAAGTGTTATCATTGTAAATCGGAACAAAATTGATGGTAAAAAATGTATTCACATGAAAAAAAGAATCATAATATTTTGTAAATTTTCCGGTTTTTTTCTCCGTTTTTCACGATTTTCCCCATTTATTGGGAAAACTCTTGGGAAAATCAAAAAATGACCTCCCCAAGTTACGCAAAAAATTCGCAAAATTAAACATTTTATCAGAAAAGTTTTACCACGTTCAGAAAAAGTAAATATAAGTTTTCTGTCAATATTTTAATATACTCAAATAAGGTATCCTCCAACAAACTTTCCAATAGGTGAGTATAAGTAACCAATATTCATATAATACCTACCACCCCATCAAAATCCAGAAGTGACACCTGAAAAATGTGGTTTACTATACCACTGATTATTATTTATAGTATGGGATGTACAATGTACTCAGTACTGTGTACACGCGCGTAGGTACTAATGAAGCACCATAGAACCACCTCAGAAAAGTATTATTGCCACATAATACATTAAAATATCACGTATTATATGATATTATAATATGTTCGGAGGATATACACGTAGTAACTATAGTAGGCAGGCACCACCTACATTATACCAATATTAATAATATATGTACCTACGCAGTACGTTTACTGGAAGTCCGGAAATTCTAATGATTTGCCTTGTCGAGCCGCAGATTAATTCAACTATTTTGATCGATTATATTGTTATATATTGGTTTCTATCCTGTTGTAACTATATTATAATATTAGACGTATTGTACATAATATGCATGGCTATATAGTGCTACGAGTCTATGATCCATGTCGCGGCTTTAGTTCGTATCCTAGAAATGGAGGAAATTTAGTAATCCTCTCTAGTACTATTTAGTTTTTACTATATCAATTATAAATGAAAAAATAAATATATTTTACAAACAATATAATATACTATTATCATTGGAGTAAATAGTGGGGGTGGGACTAGACCTTTAAAATTCCGCCAAACCCAAATCGTATCCTTATCAAATAAATACATAATCAGTATTATGTGGGCTTAATCCCCACAAATATTTGGGTTATTTGCGCCTATGACTATAATTTATAAAATAATGGGTTATTGATAGTATTCAAAGCGTAGCGTTATAAGCAATTTTTCTCATCATTTTTGAAATAGGTAATGAAAATTTGATCACCTTAAAAATAAATTTAGAATCAAAAGTCCAGTAACGAAATCATAAAGGTATTGTGTATTTACCGTGTAATCATGAAATAAACAATGATGTTTACGGGGAAACCGTTTCGCGAACAATAAAAACCATATCGCTGTATTGTTATCCTTGTTATGATTTGGCAAAATTTGGTTTTTTAACCAAGTCGAAAGTCCGCGAGTAGTTTTAAAAGAGTTTTTACAGTCGAATTAAGGGTGGGATCGTTTCAATGGAAACATTTATTAGGATGTATTTATATTATATACCTACCTACATAACTAATAAATCGTATATATGGGATTAATATTTTTAATCAATGGTATACTCATAATATGTACATTATGTTTTACAAATTATAACACACAATTTAAAATTTTTTTTCTTGCTTGCAAATTTGTTAATATAATGTTTTTTTCGGGTATTATTTAAAATTAACGCCATGTAAACACTTTTTAAGCAATAATAATGACTAATGATGACCAATAATAGTTTATGGATTGTTGGGAATACCTATATTATATTGGAGATCAATAATTATTATCAATTGAAACACAAACATTTTGGGAAATTGAGCATATGAATAATGCGTATTGAGACCAAATGTTTAGGGGTGGCATGGACTTCATACTAATCCTCTCTAAACCACGCCACTACCTTGTAGTATGCCATTATATAAGCAGTGCCGTCGTGCCGAATTTTGCACGAGAATGATCGTGGTAAATCCGACCGCTAAAAAGCTTCCATACAGCCCCTGAAAATTGTTGAGACTTCATTTTATTTTTACAAGTGAATCCTTAAACTATAAATCCCTCTCTATATTCGGCGCTTTCAACGTCCGGCGTTCCTTTCGCGCCACAAATAACCTTCAACATCACGCTGATGATCTACAGTATAGGCACATATTATATTGTGTGTCTAGACTTTGTATACATGCTATATTTTCGTATATATTGTACAAGTGTGTTTATATATACATATTATAATATATATACCAGAGGTATAAACTATAGCCACGTGTTATTGCCCTCCGTTTATCTGTAGAACCGAACAATGTAACTAATTTTCAAACGGAATCGCTAATGCAATATTATAATATAAACGTACCACGTGAAGAATATTCACACGCAGATTTCTAGATATAGGTAACTACGCCACCACCGAGGACGTTTTATAAAGTATGAACGTTAATAATTCGAAACAAAAACAAAAATTGTTAATAAAATTATAACAAAATAAATATATTAATTGAAATTATTATTAGAATTATCATTATTATTATTATTATCACCATCATCATTATTTGAAATCAAATGAAAAATCGGTTCATTACGGTCTGTAGAATGTTTATAATGTTGTTTATCAATTAAAAAAAAAAAAAAAAAAAAAAAAAAAATGGTAGATAAATATTATGTTGATAAACGGTAAAATCCCCGGTCTAATCACCCTGTAGGCCGCGATAATAATGATTCCATAAAAACAAATCTGGTAAAGTCCGGTGAGGTAAAACTAATAAATAATTAAAATCCTTTTTATAACATTTTACAAATGTATTGTTACGTATTTAATTGTCTAGTCATAAGAATAACCTATACAAAAAATGTCGAACCTCCTAGTTATAATATGTATGAAAACACGAATTTTATTGCAATATAATTGACTAATATTATAACATAAGTATATATGAGTTGCAAAATTAAATTTATGTTCTTTTTACAAGGTTTTTTTTTATTTAATTGTGCCGAATTTATTTTTTTGAAAATTGCACGTAAGCCGAATCCGAA